TTATTTCGCTATGTTAATAAAAGTTTCATTTTGCCGTATGGAATTGGGCACAATAATGTAAGTTCTTGTAATGATTCTTTTCACTAGGCCGTTGACCGATTGTCAGGTACTTCAGGAAATATTCCTGCGCCAACTGGCACAACAGCTTGGATTGGAAATATTCTGCGTATACCTGGTGGAGGAAGACAAATCAACTGTTCCTCGAGGGTGAGATTTCCAAATTAGAAAAAATAATCAGAAAAATAGCAGTGTTGAATAGATTTAGACTTCAATTTTCTTTGTGGAATGAGACTGCTTCTGAAATGTTACCATTTTAAAAGGTCACTATGATTCATCCATTTCGTCAGGCTGCTGATGGTTAAAACTAAAATCTGACCGTCCTGCTCTCAAGTTGGTTATAATGAAAGTCTGGTCGTCCTGCTCTAAAGTTGGTTATAATGAAAGTCTGGTCGTCCTGTTCTAAAGTTGGTTAAAATAAGTCTGGCCATGCTGCTCTAAAGTTCAGTTTGACCATCTTGATTCCATATTAAAACTTTTTATAAATATCTTCATGACCTTTCCTTTCATCCTCGGGTACAGTAAAAGTTTTGTTGGAGGAGATTTGTGACGTATAATAAACCCATGTTTAGTTATATATATTATTCTGGATAAGATACAGTTGAACTACGTTAATCCTGTGTTTAGAGTTAGGGTTACCATCCCCAGTAGGGTTACAGTTGAACTACGTAAATCCTGTGTTCAGGGATACTATTGCCATCCCCTGTAGGGTTACGGTTAAAGTACATTAAACCTTGTTAAGGGTTAGGTATAAGGTTGATCAGTAGAATCTGCTGTCAAGTTAACATTTGAAATGAAATTGGAGTAAACATTCTGTTTTTCTACCCAATCAGTGCTATGAGGGAAAATTTTGCCTGGACGCCAACACTACTCTTATTTAGAATTAACAGTCAAGTTTTCTTTAACGTCCAGACTAATGTGTACAAAGTCCAATCTGAATGATTAAGCACTTTTTTTGGTCAGGTCCTTCGTCTTGTATCACTGGTCCTTGTCTTAAAATCCAGAGTAACTTTCCACGACTTTCACTATAATTAAAAATATTATTTTTCGTGTCAGCTTCTAAATGTCTATCAAATAGACTATTATGACATTTATGTCAAGGCTTGATGTGTTATTTTTTTTTTTTTTCTAAAATATCAAATTTCTCATGGCTTGATAGAAGTTAGATATACGGCTTGATAGACGTTAGATATACTCATTTAAACATGAAAACAAAAACAAAATATCAATGTTAGAGAATCATTCGGCTTGGATTCAATTGGATGTAAACTAGTTATTTTGTAGTTTACCGTCAAGTCTTGAATGTTATTGTAACTTGTGGATTTATCGAGAGATATTACTATATGTGTGTACTAATCTTTAAGCGATATTTAACAATCACTGGTTTCAAAAAATATCCTCTTATTGTTTATCGTGCTTGATAACGATAAAAGGATATTTGTTGAAACGTTATGTTTTAGAATAAAACCAGTGATTGTTTCCCATAAAACTGTACCTTGTGTTAATGTTCAATTACTAAATACCTATCAAAGACGTAATTTAATGCGACCAGTGAGGGAATTCTGAATTATTTTCATATTTTGTTGTACAATATATGTCATGTGTTTTGATTGCTGCATGGTATGTATATGAATGTAATTAATGAAATGGGCTTTAACGTCCCAACTGGGCTAATGAAGAAGCCAGCCCTTACCTAGAGTATATGCTTTTATGTTATTCAGTAAATTTATAAAAAATATTTTAATGTAATTTCTAATATTTTATTACAAATTGAGTAAATTTATTTACTTTTAAAGAAGTTGATACAATGTGTGAAATGTCAATGATATATTTTAAGTATGAGATGTTTTGAATTATTCCGCTTTAAATAGTGTACTGGTTTTATCTGGGTCAACTTGCTGTTGTATTTTTATATGCCAACATGGAATTGTAGTTGTATATTGTCGTGGCCTCAGTCCATCCATCCGTCCTCCACTATTTCTTGTGAACACTTTACAGACTACATTTGATATCAGATTTTTTTACATTGTATGTATTTGTTTAAATTAGTGAGACGAAAAAACCTATTACATTTCAACAATTTTTGTTAATCATAGCCTGTGTTTCAATTTGTTGCCAAATAAATCTAACGTTATATACTGACCTACAGATATATCTATGATGTACAAATTGTATTGATACGAGTGTGAGAGCCAATGACGAGAATATACCCCCAGCGACATTTTCAACCTGGCTCCCATATTGCAGGCTTAATTCAGACCTGTACAAATATATGGCTGGCGATTATTGGAGATAAAATAAAAAGTTGGCAGTTCTCACTATAATAGTTAAAAGCTAGATAATGTAAATGAAATATGATGAAAATTTCAGTCCAGTTGCTCCACTCTAAACCAAGATATTAGCATTTGAATTTTAGGCCCAACCTTGATCAGTATGATAAAAAAAACCCATAGTCTCGATTATCCATTTTTGGATAAAATCTTCAATGGGCGTAGAGCAGCAATTTGGATTAAATCCATTGAAAATCCAACTCATAAGATGGCATCGAGAGTTGATTATGGTCTGGATAAGTAAATTTATATAACATTTCAAGCCTAAAGAAATACCTTCAATAAGCAGATGTAGCTCTTGTATAATGTATGCTTAAGTATATCTTGTAATGTTTCAATTTTAAATTGGAACTTTTATTGTTTAATGATGTGTCTGGTTTTATTTATGATTAACTGAATTTTTTGTTGATTAAATAATTTATGTTTTATAAAGATTGTGTATGATTAAATAATTTATGAATAAATGTTAATTTAATAAACATATCTGCTTTCAATTTTTATACGCCCACATATTCATGTGGACGTATATTGTCGTTGCCCCTGTCCGTCCACAATTGTTTGTGGACACTCGACAGGTCACACTTCTTATCCGATTTTGACGAAACTTGAAATGGACACTCTACAGGTCACAATTCTTATCCGATTTTGACGAAACTTGAAATATAGGTTTATCTCCAAAAGATCTCAACTGCTTTCGGATTGAAACTTCATGGATTATGGCCCCTGTTTGTACGAAAAATCACATTTTTAGCTTGTGGACCCTATGGAGGTCCGATTTTGTTGAAACTTGAAATGTAAGTTTATAACCCAAAGATCTTGGTTCCTTTCGATATTCGCACATATCGGACCATAACTTACTGAATTATGGCCCCTGATTGTACGGAAAATCACTTTCTTTTTAGCTTGTTCTCTATCCATCTCTCGAATGTGGGCGTATCCTGCCTGGCAGCCGCTGGTTTTTCATGCACATTGTAATTGTCCGCATGTCGTTTAATTGAGCCACGTTGGTTCGCTAACCTTGAGGTTCTCGTGTTCGATCCCTGCACTGGTCGTGAAAATTAATAAAGATTTTCAGGTGTAGTTCCCCTTTGTAAAATGAAGGGCCTGGCAAGGAACGACATATAGTCGTTAGGATGGGACGGAAAGCCAAGGTCCTGTGTACACTGTGACATGCACATAGAAAAAAAACTTTGTCCGTGCACAATTCCCCTTATAGCAAACTGTATGGCATATGTGCCAGTTTTCATGAATCCAGCTGAAGCAGAACAGTAGGACGTTAAACCTTGGTGCAGAGAAATGGGGTTTGACATCCACTCAACACTAAGTAGGCCATTTTTAGACTAACATAGTTCAATTTTTTGCAATAATTCGCTTGCGCGTAGGGGGTCTTTAGCAATGGGAAGAAACCAGAGGACCCAGAGAAAACCCACTAGGTTGGACAGGCAATCCAACTCCTTGTCGCGTACAACGGAAAAATACATGTGCACGTGCTAACCATTCGGCCATCCTAGCCCAGTCAATCAAAAATATGTAGGATGTTAAATTCCCATTCTGCACACGGACAATAGACCTCGACCCTGAACAGCCACCATATTAAATTATTATGTTTTGTAATGTGGTTCTTATCCATTGTACATTTTTCACACACACCAAGTCCAAATAAACATTTGCGATTTTATTAAAGCAGAATAAAAACTTCTCGAAGTATTCTTGAAGTATACTTAGTGTTTCAACTGGAATCGTTGATTAATGTCAGTGAATTAGCTTTGTGTTTGTTCTCAAGCGGAAATAGTTGTAGACAGACAGCCTTACCTAAGTTTATACGGTTAAAACCCATTTCTTATTGTCTGTCAGTTGCCCACAATATGTGTGGGCGCTCTAGAGACTGTTTCATTGTCATTTTTCCAACCTCCTTCATTTTCTCCCACTGCTAAAGACCTCGACGTACAAGCGAATTATTGAAATAAAATGAAACCATGTTAGTCCCGAAATGACTAGGTTGTGTTGAGTGGATATTTATTTGCTCTGTGTACTGGAGGACTGCACTACATACAAACTAAACCCACAACACAAACCAGTCAGATTTATTGCCCTTGTTCATTTGTGATCTTTGGAAGTTGTAATTTTATGACTTATAATGTAATTTACAGTAAGTTCTTCAATCTGTCCATTTTTACCATCAGTCAGTCAAACAGGTAAATAAGGGCTGGAACAACAGGTCTGGTTTATCACAGGTGTTCATACTTCGCACGTATGGCCTGGTAAGGGAAGACCTACGTGTGGTGTGTTTAGTCGTTAATAGAGAAAACAGAGGTTTCGTGTACATATTGGCATGCACATAAAGAAACTCTTGTCTGTTCAAAATTTCAGTTAAACTCCAGATGGTGCAGAACAGAAGTATGTTAACCCTGCCATTTCATTTCACATAGTAATAACACTTCTGTGTATACTGTCACGGATGGGCGTTTAATGCCCTTGGGCCACTCGTATTAACTGACAGGCGTTTAATGCCCTTGGGCCACTCGTATTAACTGAGATGATTTAAAAATAAAACGCAGTTCGGTCTGATTATTTCTGCCATGTTTTAAGGCAAAAAAAAAATATGTTTTGAAATTAGTTGAAATAAATATTTTATGTACAATAAACAAACACATTTATACTTTAAATTAATAATTACAGATAAAATACTCTTATCATAGGGCCTTAAAATACTGAATCAGCAGGCCTTTAAATACTGAGTCAACAGGCCTTAAAATACTGAGTCAACAGTTAATGTTTCAATCGGGGTCATAAAATAATATTTAATCAACAGAACTTCAGACCTTATAGAATGAGTAGTTAATAATTTTCAACATACAAAATCAGCAGTTGAAGGCGTTAACGCACAGAATCCACAGTTGAAGGCATTAACATACAGAATCGGCAGTTGAAGGCGTTAACGCACAGAATCCACAGTTGAAGGCATTAACATACAGAATCGGCAGTTGAAGGTGTTAAATGTAGTAATCATACTCCTGTAACACTCTACAATTGGTGTTTTTACTTGTATTATTAAATTCTTAACATCACCATGGCTTATAAACATCGCCATGGCTTACAAACATCACCATGGCTTATAAACATCAACACCATGGCTTATAAACATCAACACCATGGCTTATAAACACACCTGCATGGCTTATAAACATTGTAAAGATTACAAATAGAAAACATGACAATTTTTACTTTGATTTTTTTACATTATTATGACAGTGTTGAACACAAAATGGGTCATACACTTATGAAAAGTAAAATACATGGGATCTTACAGTGGTAATCAAGTTGAAGACGACTTGCTGGTCTAAGAAATCATCACTGAAGCTTGGTTTATATTTTATAGAGATTTATAAAATAAATCCATCTGATTATAGTAGTTTATGATTTTATACAATAGATTCGTTAACATATCACAGTAAGTAATAATATTTTGGCTCCGGAATACATTTAATGTTGAACTTTAACCCCAGACATTTTACTGCTAGCTCGACTCCTGTTGATTGCATCCTGGACTTCTTTCTTTGCGTCTTTGGCTTCTTTCATGGATGTGACACGAACAGCATTGTAACGATGTTGGATCTGAAGCAGAGTTTGAAAAATAAACCCCAAATTATTAATTAATTCTTAAAGATGCATAATGTAAGATTTAGATAAAGAGCCAACAGGTCTCGCTATAATAAACAAAAAATAAGGAATTTGTAGAAAATTTCAGTAAATTTACTTCATTCTGAGTGAAGTTATTGAGTGAACACCTTGATTACAATACTTGCATGTACTGCTTGAAACCACCTGTTGGTAGATCTCCTTAGAATAAGTCACAAAAAGGGCAGAGGTGACCCTGGCTACGGTCCTACAACATGGAGAGATGAGGTGACCCAAGGAACAGAGAGAGCGGATGTGACCAAAGGAACAGGGAGAGCGGAGGTGACCCATGGAACAGGGAGAACTGAGGTGATGCAAGGAACAGGGAGAGCTATTCTCATATCATCTGTGGTCTAAAGAATAGTAGGTTTTAGCATCAACATAGTAAGTAAATTACCATACCATCAATAATGGAAGTCAAGGAATTAAATAAAATCCACAGAAAAAAGGAAAAAACAAGGCATTGAACTAATAAACACCTATACCAAGTTTGAACATTCTAGCTCAATTAGAAGGAGAGTTATTGGGTACCAAAAAGTGTGACGGACGGACCGACAGACGAACGAACCCATTTTAATAGTCCCCTGCTTTCTTCGAAAGGCGGGGGACAAAAATACAACTAACCTGTGCCAATAATGTCTGAGCTTCAGGAAATTGTTTTCTCAATTTAGTCTTATTTTTCAGGACATATTTCAGACTGGCCTCGTCAACAGTTGATCGATCCCGTAAATTATCTAAAACTTCATCGACTTTCTCTTGGTGTGTTTTACGAGGTCCAGATGGAGGAAGAGGAACCTGAAAATTAATGAAACTCTTTTCATTACAAATTCCTTTTCATTACAAATTGCATACAGGGTTCTGTTACAAGAAAGGGGAAGATCCACTCCAAAACTGTACAACTTCCATAAAAGACAACATTCATGGTAGTGTCCTTTGAGACTTTTTTCACAGGGGGGTGAAACTTTCCCCTAATTACGGGCCCGAGAGAGAGAAAGAGAGGGTTTAAGCATCTCCACACGAACTTAGTCATTTCACGAATAAAATGGTTCAATTCTACTTCAATAATTGGCTTATGCCTTTGAGTCTTTAGCAGCGTGGTGAAACCGAAGACAAAGGACTTGAAAAACCCCACAAGGTTTGACAGACGACCCTACTCCGGGTCTCGTACATGCTGGGAATCAAAATCACCCCACTGGACACATAGACAGACTTTATGATTTCATGAGTTAAACCCCCCAACCACAACAATTATAAGAACTTATCTATCTATATGAATCTCTTGTCTACAAGAGTAACCTGCCAACATGAGTAACCCCTCTCTAAGCATTGCCCGCTGATAAGACGTACTTGTCTATTAGCCTCACCTGACTATAAGACTTACCCTTCTATAAGCTTTAACAGGTTTTTTAACAGCATCAAGTTGTAGTTTACTTGTATCTCTGTATACCAGTTGATGATTCAGTGCATAACGTAAAGCTCGTACATTACTCTGAATATCTGAATAATAAAAATACAGAGTGACCATGTGTTGGAATTTAAACTTAGAGTAGGCTGTATCGTGGCTGTCCGGGAATAATTCCCCTCATAGCACACTACTCTCATCTTCATTACCCCAGTAGGTACAGAAAAGTAGGACGTTTAAATCCATTTAATTTAATTTTATTATGTGGGGCCTGCCCGGGCCTGTCTGGGCCTGTCAACACACAATACCATGTCCTATATTGTTACATGTAGAATAAAAATGGGCACAGGACGCTTGTTACCATAGTGACCAGTACAGTAATGACGTGACGTATAACGCCTCAAGTTACAAACCTTGTGAACTTTCCTCTCCAGCCAATGGGAAATCATCTTCACTCAGCAGATCTTCAAATCCACGATATTTTTCATCTAATTCTTTCTCCGTCTTTTTCATTTCCTCTGGTTTTCTTCTTCCTGATTTATTTTCATCTTGATCATCAACCTAAAAATAAAAATAAAAATAATTAAAGCTACAGAGAGAGAGAGGGTTTTACGTCCACCCGATACAAACTAGGGCATTTCAGGACTAAAATATGCTTCAATTTTATTTCAATAATTCGCTTGCTTGTAAGGGTCTTCTAGCAGTGGGAGGAAACCAGAGAAAATCAACAGAGTTGGACAGGCAACCCTACTCCTTATAACGTACAACCGGGGAATCGAAATCAAACCATTTGACTCAATGACAGACCTTATGATACAATGGCCATCTCCCCGCCCCCTATAATTAAAGCTGTGTAATCTGAGATATAGAATTCCTTGCTAAATATTAGTCTAAAATTGGTTTAATTCCATTCAATTTTGTGTTATTGCAATTAACCTGTGTTATTATTGTAATTTACCTGTAATTTACCTGTGTTACTGTAATTTACATGTGTTATTGTAATGTACATGTGTTATTGTAATTTACATATTATTGTAATTTACATATTATTGTAATTTACCTGTGTTATTGTAATTTACCTGTGTTATTGTAATTTACATGTTATTATTGTAATTTACCTGTGTTATTATTGTAATTTACCTGTGTTATTATTGTAATTTACCTGTGTTATTTGAATTAACTTGAATTTACTTGTGTTATTTGAATTTACCTGTGTCATAAAGAATGTTTCTCCTTCTAATTCATCTTCATCTGCCCATGCCTCACTTCTGGGAGTTATCTCTTCTGTTTGTTGTCTTGGTAACCCACCAGCAGACGCAGCCCGACAACGTCTAGTGTCTATCGGTGGTAGAGGTGATTTAACACCACTGGTTGCAGGACGGTCATCGCTGTTAATGGGAGGCGTTAGTTTGGGAGCTTCCAACATCAATCTCTGTTCTACCGTTGGTCGGGGTATTTTAGGGACTCGTGTTGTTACCTGTAGCCCACATATATGGAAATTATTATTATGACAGGAGTTATATTACAACCATTCTTCTTTAAACCCATCTCTTTACTACAAGGGGACCACAGTGGATTATTGAGTGGTGCTCTTTACTACAAGGGGACCACAGTGGATCAGTGAGTGATGCTCTTTACTACAAGGGGGCCACAGTGGATCAGTGAGTGATGCTCGACTGCTCTTTACTACAAGGGGACCACAGTGGATTATTGAGTGATGCTCGACTGCTCTTTACTACAAGGGGACCACAGTGGATCAGTGAGTGATACTTGACTGCTCTTTACTACAAGGGGACCACAGTGGATTAGTGAGTGATGCTCGACTATGTAGGTCATGGTGTTGACCTAGAAAGTTCCTCAGGTCAAACTTAGTGCCATTGGATAATATAAATACATTTACCGATCCTACATTTTATATTAATATTACCATGGAAACAGAATGATATAAAATACTCACCTTACGTTTTGGTCTATCAGGTATTTCTATATGTTTTTTAATGACAGGTGCCACCCGTTTTCTGTAAAAATCAAAATATCTTGTTTATTTCCTGCAAATCTCAGGTTGTAATTATAGAATTTATTAAACTGATGATGGAAAATTTAAAAACATTTCTTTACTAAATCTTTAAGCTACCAGTTTAATTTCTTTTTGACATGATGGCCACAGTGCCTCAGTGGGTAGAGAGCTGGCCCTCTAACCTGGGCCCCATTCCTAGAAAATTCTTAAGCACGTTCTTGTGCTTAGATTTAAGTAGACTTTGCATTTAAGTAAACTTACCTTATTTTGTGTTCCCAGAAAATTCTTAAGAACGTTCTTGTGCTTAGATTTTAAGTAGACTTCATTGTAAGCACAAGAACGTTATTATGCGTTCCAAGAAAAAACTTAAGCACAACTTCGTTCTTAAACATAGTCAATCTAAGCACAAGTCCCAAGCAAGGTATACGGCTTGCTTACCAACCTTAAGTCTGTTTCCACTTCAAAAAGATGGCTGACTGTGTAGAGTTATTCGACGGCATTTCCGACACGTTTTTATACCAAAGAGACAATTACAAGACAGAGAAAATCCTTCTCCAGAAGAAATTATGAATACTATAGAAAATTTCGCTTCTACCCTGAAACCATTTTATTTATTTGCCAATTAGTAAACAATAGGCTACAAACACACGGGCTACTTAAGATCATGCGCTCTCACAATTATTCAGTTAGTTTGTATGTGTCTGCGTTTTTTTTATCTTGTGGCACATTTTATATGTGTATAGGGAACATGTCAAATGCATCTAAATCAACCATATATGACGTCAATGAAGCAGACGACAAATTTATGACGTAATTCGCATACCAAAGTTGTTTTTGTGACGTTAAAGAGCATCGTAGTCTCAGTTTATGGTAAACTTTACCAGTCACAATGTGCTTAGACTTATACTCGACTTGTGGTTACGTAAGAATGGTCTTGAGAATTTTCTAGGGACGGTATTTTTACAAGTTTCTTACGTAAGAAAAAGTGAAGCATGACTTTGTGCTTACTTTAAGAATTTTCTAGGAACCGGGCCCAGGAGGAGCCGTTGTTGGCCGAGAAGTTTGGATTATCCAGTGCGGTGTACCTCTTGTCATTGATGCATAATGCTAGGCCTGGCATGTTCAGTGCCTAGCAGTTAGTCAGATTGGAAGAAAAACCTGAGGTCCTATATGTTGACTACCAGCTAAAGACTCCTTGATGGTTGGAATTCAATACAAGAGAGAAAAAGAGATTCTAACTCTACTGGACACAAACGTGTTTTCCTGTCACAGATTAACGTCCGTTTTCCTAGACTGTGATTCTCGGAAATCCACGCAGCCTGCAGGCTTGAGTCCAACACTGAAACTATTCAATTGTTTTTCAGATAACTAGTATCATTATGTATAACAATCTTTGTGAAAATAAATCGGAGAGATTTCGATTTGACAGTTTTTAAATATTTTTGAAACAGGTTTCAAAGTTATGCAAGATCATTTTCGACGTTCCAAAGTTCCAAAGTAAAAGTTTGGTGCTAAGACCCCCTTAAGATAAATTTTAAATGTTCCTATTATTAATTAGAACAGGTTTCGCTTTAATTTTTATATTTTACGTTGACATTTTATTGCTTTAAATCTTCCTAGTGCAAAAATGGTAAATTTCACCTTTTGACCTCCAGGGTCACTAAGACTAAAGGTTAATTTAGCAAGTTTACATTTTAATTGAAAGTGTGATTACTTTCGATCATTTTCAGCTTCTTTTCATGATACAAGAATGACTGCACATTCACTTTCAGTGCAAATGAACTTATTTGACCCCGAACATCTCGAAAACGCCCCACTCGGCATCATATTCTATGCAAAATTTTACTCTAGAAAAGTTGGGTCTGCTTTTGTGACCATTTGATGGACCCCCAGACCCTGCGCTGAGCCTCCGATCTATAACAGTAGGTCGTAGCGCCAATCTACGGGCAAAATTTCACTCATAGCACACTATATGGTGAATGCCTGTCTTCATAAGCCCAGTCGTTGCAGAATGTTATTAAAGATATACAATTACCTGACTAGTTTAATACCAAGACGATCGTGTAGAAATCGTTTTATTAATGGAGGATCACCAACATTATCTGTTGTTAGTGGATTATCATGTATAACAAGTTCTGATAACATCGGCCATGCTGCTACAGCTAATAATCCTTCTTCTGTTGCAATCTACATCAATATAATAATACAATAATACTTCACTTCCATTACAGGGGGCTTTTAGCTGTGGTTGGAAACCTGCAGGACCCTATTCTTTATCAAGTACATGCCTGGAACTGAAACCCAGCCACTCGACTGAATGATGTAAGGCCACTCAGTCACCTAACCCCTCTGAAGCCATCCTGGGTATCCCCAGTCACCTAACCCCTCCGAAGCCATCCTCGGTATCCCCAATCACCTAACCCCTCAGAAGCCATCCTCTGTATCCCCAGTTACCTAACCCCTCCAAAGCCATTCGTGTGATCCCCAGTCACCTACCCCCTTCCGAAGCCATCCTCGTTATCCAAAGTCACCTACCCCTGCCGAAGCCATCAGCGATATCCCCGGTTACCTAACCCCTCCGAAGCCTTCCTCGGTATCCCTAGTTACCTAACCCCTTCGAAGCCATCCTCGGTATCCCCAGTCACCGAAGCCATCCGCGGTATCCCCGGTCGCCTACCCCCGCCGAAGCCATCCGCAGTATCCCCAGTCACCTACCCCCTCCGAAGCCATCTGCGGTATCCCCAGTCGTATGATTATGAGACGGTTTAGAAGAAATTTAATGTCAAAGACACATACACACAAAATTATGTCCTAAAATATTTAAACAAAGTTTAAAACAATGCTACAATGATATTAGTTGCAATAAAATGTGAATTACTTTCCTTTGCTTGCTATTTATTGAATTATCTGATTGATCAATAAAAATAGGGCAATTACCAAGGGAGGATAATTTGACTATGTGTCTCCCCATGCATGGATTGGGAATACTGAGGATGCTCCGAAGCTGAAAGTGTGCTATGATGGAAGCATGGTAGTATTACCCAGGCAGTGTGCTATGATTGAAGCATGGAAGCATTGCCCAGACACTGGCATCCTCACCTACTCATCTTTAAATTATTTTTTTAACATGTACGCCACAGACAAGGGGAAATCAGGCTGGCAAATCTCGAAGAACTTTCTCAAACAGACCAAGTAATTCCTGGTTAGTGAATCAGCCCTATAATCAGTGGGCCAGCTCTGTAATCAGTGAGTCAGGTCTGTAATCAGTGGGCAAGTCCTGTAATCAGTGAGCCAGCATATCGAACTCACCTGGTTGTAGGCTAAACTAAGATAACGTAATTCTGGAAAAGGTGTTCTTGAGATGGTGGCATCTGATTGGGGTTTATGGGCCGTAGATCGCGGTGTAGGGCTACCCTTTATATCGGACTCTACATCATGAATTCGTGCAGATAAATCACCCAGTGATGAATTAAAGTCTTCATCCAATAAATCACCTTTAAAATAAATCAATCACAGGCCATATAAAATATTCTGGTTCTCATATTTCATGAATTCAAGCAGATAAATCTCTCTTTATACCCTTAAGTTCATCAGATAAATCTCTCTTTATACCCCGAAGTTTATCAGATAAATCTCCCTTTCTACCCTGAAGTTCATCAGATAAATCTCCCTTTCTACCCTGAAGTTCATCAGATAATTCTCTCTTTATACCCTGAAGTTTATCAGATAAATCTCTCTTTATACCCTGAAGTTCATCAGATAAATCTCCCTTTCTACCCTGAAGTTCATCAGATAAATCTCCCTTTCTACCCTGAAGTTTATCAGATAAATCTCTCTTTCTACCCTGAATGTTTATCTAGAATCTCTTATATAAATAGCTTACTACAAAAAAAAACAATTGTCAAATAAACATACATTATGCAAGAGCTAAATCTGCCAATTGCAGGTCTTTCATTAGGCCTGAAATGTTATCTAAATTATTAGTTAGACATTAATTAACTTATTCAGACCATAATCAACTCTCAATGCCATCGCTAGCCAGAGATATTTTTATAAAAATAATTGATTGTAAAAACAGATGATCAAGACTTTGTTTTTTTATTGTATCGACTTTAGTAATGATGATCGAGGTTAGGCCTAAAATTCAATCTCTAATATCTCAGTTCTGAGTGGAGCAATTTGACCGAAAGTTTTAGCATATACTTTTTATGTTATCTATTTTTTAACTATTATAGTGAGAACTGTCAGTTCCTTATCTAATCTCACATAATGCCCTTTTAATGGGCATAAGAATTTTCATAGCCTTGATTGATCCAGCCCAGATTGTCTTGACAATGTATAATGGTCTGGATAAATGGTTTATGTGATACACTTTGGATCTTAAACCAGGAATGATGGACGTTTAATGCAGTAGCTAAAAGGACAAGTATGTGTGATGATATTGTGTGATGAACATGTAAAGATCTGTACCGGAATCGGTCACAATGATCAATGGCCCAGTGTACTGAAAACTGGAGTGCTGACAGTTATGACTCAATGACTAAGCCTACAATGGGGACTGATAGTCTGGACAACAAAGCATACAAGATGATCATTATTAAAATACAGATGTGACATCATCCTTTCATGTTGCCGTATCATTATTTCAAATAATGGTATGGGCAATGTGCCAAGCGTATATTATTTATACTAGTTAAAATTTTGGACCTGTGTGACGTATTTCATTTCAAAGCACATGCGAGTGTCTGTACTTTAAGTCGTTTAATGGTCTCGAGGTTAAGACATTGCGTAATATATTGAAACAACAACTAACACCACTCATGCTGTTCAATTTATTACACAATGTCTCACTCTCGACCATAAAACCACACTTAATTAAAATTAACGTTCAATATTTAAAGCCCTTACTAGCTTCTTTATTAGTTTCCTTCACTGCCTTGGTTACTTCCTCTAACTGATCTGTTCTATTTTCTATTTTTATTTGTTGATCTGTAGACTCGCCAATCACCTCCCCATCAGATTGTTCCCCGGAGTTGGCTTCCTCGGAATTTATCACATCATTCGTCAGTTCTTCTAATTTGGCTTCTAACGCGGACTGTCGAGATTTCGAACGTCGACTTGAACAACTAAAAGGCATAAACACAGGGCTTCATTTTTTAAAAAGTGTGAGCGTTAAAAAAGACACTCATTGTAAACTTTACGAGAGTGCTTTCAAACACACTGACTGAAATTTTGTGAGAGCTATCTATTCATTTTGCAGCACCTGATACAGATAAAATTTTCTGTTCCAAAGGGTGAGACAAACCAAGGGTTCCATGTCGGCCATATATGCCGGTCGGGACCGAGAGCGTTGGAAAATGACTGAAACTGGATCAGATCCGTAGACTCGCACGCTGGAAAAATAGCATATTTTGTGTTTAATCATAAAATCCCTGGATATGAGGAAACTCTGTACGTGTAGTGATGTAAACTATCGGGTACAATAAAATTAACAATGTTCAGTAGTCCAAAAATGGAAACCACTGCCAATAAAATTATCCTGGTGTATATTGCTCTAATCACATCAAACAGATTAAAAACTTAATATTTCATCAACTTAATTAGCTGTGACGAAATATTGGACAGGCGACCCTACTCCATGTGACCGTCAGTTGACTCAATGACAGACCTTATGATACAGCGCACACGTGCTAACCATTCGGCCATCCAATCCCCTGCCCCCGGCTAGGGAACAAAAACAAATAGCTTGAACAGAAACAGGGGATAAAATTAAATAGCCACTGACAGTGAACCATAATGAAACATCTTTTCTGGACAGAAGTAGTTTTAACTCTTCTCGACTTTTCAGTGAAATGACGTAGAAATGGTCACCACCGTGTGTGGAGAATTTCGTTACTGACATCCTATCGTCACATGATGTAAATAATATTTCAGTGTATTTTATAAATGTATTCATACGCCAAGGTATATTACACTATATTTTTATCAATAATTTTATAAAAACTGTCTCATAGTCAGTCTACTTTTATTATAGATTTACAATTAAATTTGATCAAATGCCAACATTTACACAAGTTAAATTCCTATATCCTGACTGAATGACATGTCTACACCACCCGGGTTAATGTCCTGACTGAATGACATGTCTATTACCCAGGCTAATGTAATGTGTAATGAGAGAGATTTTAACACGACCAGTAATTGATTCCAACTGTCAACAAAACTTTGACATGTCAACATGGCAAGAGAGAGAGAGAGAAATGGGGTTGTACTTCCACTCGACACAAGCTCAGTCATTTCGGGACTAATATATGGTTCTATTAATTCGATAATTCACTTCCGCGTAGGGTCTTTAGCAGTGGGAGGAAACCGGAGGACCCGGCGAAACCCCACGAGGTTGGACAGGCGACCCTACTCCTTGTCACGTACAAACAGGGAATGGAATCACACCAGCTGACCCAATGATAGACCTTATATGATACAGCACACACGTTATCCAATATTTTACACAGGACTTCAGTTTCTATGTGTTAGGACCCTTTGACTGAAATAACAAAATCAATATTTTCTTAATAATGGAGAACTTACCCACTACGCAGTGTTTTATTTTTCCTACTGCTCGATTTCTCGCCATCCTGTGTTTTCATCTGACCTTCAACTGACTTTAATTGGGGTACAAAGAAAATCGCATTCTTCTCCAGGTTTAGATGTTTGAGTTTCTGTAAACCAGCGATGGCAGCAAATATTGTTATATCCGATAATTTATTATCGTCCAGCATTAAAACTTCCAGGTAGGCAAATCGTGGATACTGATTTTTACTAAAGAAAAAGAGAATATTTTTTTTTATTGATAAGATTAACACTATTTCATGTTAAAAATGAAAACAATCCAAAAGATTCAACTTGTTGTACTAATGGGAAACAAGACGAGGGAAAATCTGGTCGATTTGTAAATTCATGTGCAAAGATTGCACGTCTATTAAAAATGCCTCAATTCAGAGACGTCTTATGTAGTAATCACTGTACACAGTGATGTTTTGTGATCACTTTAGAATAATCACTGCAAACTACTGTTTAGTTATGACTGCACACTGTATAGTTAAGACTGTACGCTTTTTAGTTATCACTCAGACTCAAGTGACATTTTTATATACAAGAGTTTTTCTATTTTTTACCTGTTTCTTTACTACTCCTTCATGTGTAAATAATCTTAATTCTAAATCCACCTGTCCATAATACCAGGTAATAAACAACAATAACAACTAATTTTAATACAATATACTTACTGTTTTACAGGTATAAAAGGTAAACACGTAATACAAGATACTTACTGTCCTACAGCTATGAAAGGTAAAACAAGATACTCACCTGTCCTACAGGTATAAAAGGTAAACAGGTAATACAATATACTTACTGTCCTACAGGTATAAAAGGTAATACAAGATACTCACTGTCCTTCAGGTATAAAAGGTAAACAGAAATCGTGTGGTAATCGATTAAAATCGTTCCCAGTTAAATGTAGAACTTTGAGTCTGGGCAGGGTGCCAACTGTTAGAATGTCATCTTGTGATAAATTATTATATGATAAATCTAAAAGCTGAAATACGAACAAAAACACAAATTATACTTCATTTGTCAATTATTTATTTGTTTGTGTTCTTACAAAGGGATTTGTTATGAATTTTGATCTTGTGTGTGACTGGGCTTTGGTTTTAGTTGTATTGTTGATTGACTGGCTGGAAAATTGATGATTTGACAGATTGGTCGGGAATATTGATGAGATGATTGACTGGCTGGGAAATTGATGAGTTGATTGACTGCCCGAAATTGATGAGTTGATTGATTGGTAGGGAAATTGATAAGTCCTGGTTTGTATATTGTTGTATGTCTATTTATATCAGGATATGTCTTGGTGAATATCCTGATGGGTTGAATCCTAGCGGAGCAGGAAGGAGGGTCTAGCTGGGAAGAGGGGCCAGTAGTTCGGATTCCCTGGCAGTGTGAAGTTGAATCATTTTTCATTATTCACCAATAACGAATAACCAGGTTGCTAGCCTTGTTATTTGCGAATAACTAGGTAGTGTATCCCTCGTTATTCACCAATAGCAAATAACCAGGTTGCTTGCCTCATTATTGGCGAATAACGAGGGATACGCTACATGGTTATTCATTATTCAACTTGTTATTCAGGATTCAATTGTGAAGCTAGCTAGTCATGATGGATGCCAAGTTACCCTCAGTAGCACACAGTAAAACGACTTCTAGCTGAAAAACAATCCAAACTGTTATTCAAGCAGTGAATAACAAGGTATTTGTTATTCGTTTTTCTCCACGTTATTCGGAATTCACAATTCTAACTTTTATTCATTCAAGCAGGAAATAATGAGCTGTTTGTTATTAGTTTTTCACCTCGTTATTCAAGATTCACATATGAAGATGTTCAGGGTTCAGGTAACTTTAATTGAGATATTTCAGGATTCAGGTATCTTTAATTTGGATCTTTCAGGATTCAGGTATCTTTAATTGGGATATTTCAGGATTTAATTAAAAAGATAATTAGACAACAATAGAAAGTTTTTCGTCTAGAAGTTGTTTTGCTGTGTTTTATACTACCAAGGGGATACTTGGTATCCATCATTCTAGTGATTGCTAGCTTCATACTTGTATCTTGACTAACAAGTTCAATAACAAATAACAAGGTAGCGTAATGGCCGTTATTCACCAATGAGGAGTCGAGTTATTCGTGAATAACAAAAAACAATTCAACTTTACAGTGCCCCAGTACATATCATTGGTGGTATGTTAAACATCATTTCACAGAATTTGGAATAAGAAGGGCTGGTTGCAGCGCTGCTGTACAGACAAACTTTGTCTTATAGTACACTGCTTGGTGTATGCTCAGCTTTATTAAACATACATTGTCCCAAAAGTATTTATCATGTGGTTATTTCCAATAAAATTTGGTGTATATGGAAAGTACAGACACTCAATCTTACTAGAAAAATACTGGATTACCCGAAAAACACCGATGGGGCAAACACTGGGCAAAAATGTCAAGGTATCACTAACTGGCAACCCGACTGTTGTCTGCCAGCTTATTGTGTGCTAGCTTGACTCAGGAAGCGGTTGTTTTTTGATCAAATGGTTAGGCTGTTTTGGAAACATTGAGAGTGTCAATGTACAAAAGACTCAGCAATTAAACGGCAGAAAAAGTAGTTGACAGAAACTAATTAAGAATTTACTTAGGCCTCAATACGTATGAAAAATGGACAATAAGTAATGAAAAATACATACTGAAAAAGGGACCCTCCCCCAATGAATTGAGCTGACAGACATGGCGTCTAACAACATTTTAATTATAGCTTGCGGTATCTCCCGACGAATACAAAGTTTTGAGAAGGATCTGAAGCAAATGTTTGATAGATTAATTAGTTTAAATATGTTTTTAGTCCAAATATGTCACCAAATCACACAGTTTGTACGCGGGACAGTATCTGCCTATTGTAGATATTTTTTGGGCCTCAAATGTTCTCTAATTCATTTATTCACATGACAAGACAATAATCAACTCTCTATGTCATCATATGTTCACGATTTACAATGGATTGAAATATGATCACGATTTAATAATTTAAATTCAAACTGGATAATCAAGACTTTGTTTATTATCATAATAATCAAGACTATATCGTGAACACATCAAAAATTGATAACTTTGCTCAGAAAAGTTATTCGAATGAAATTTTCAATATATTCATTTTTCATTATCTATTTTTAAAATATTACAGTGAGAACAGCCAGCTCTTTATCTAAATCTTAATAATGTATCTTTAATGGTGTATACTTGTCTTTGTTAACCCGATGGTGCAGACATTAAAACATATTTCTTTTATAGACACGAATACCACTTTAATAATAACTTGTTTCAATGCCTGAAATATACAGGTGAAAATTCTATAGAATATAATTACTGCTTATTACTGATTGATGTTTCAACTACGCTTCTCAGTAATAAACAGTAATTATATTCCACAGTATTGTGACCTTTATATCTAATAATAATTCTAGATACTAACCTCTAGATTAGGGTAGTCATTGTGACCTATTTTTAGGCTTCTCAATCCACATAAAGGTATTTCTAATTCTCGTAGTGAAGGAAAACCACGATAAGCCTCTGGAACAATTTGTAAGAAAAAAAATAAAGATATAAAATTAGACATTTGAAAACATTAGACATTCGTGGATTATTATTAATAATATTTAATAATGATATTCGTATGGTTCAACTACTCAATCCACCGGGGAATACTCGAGGCGCTAGAAAATTTTCGCACTTTGGATTGATTATGATAGGGTTAAATAACCAAGTTTTCACTTGGGATTTAAAAACTGACACAGAATCAATCATATTATCATATATTTTTTGGAAGTGTATTCCACACAACTGATGTACTGTATTGAAAAGTTCTGGATCCAAATGATTTTAAATTATAGGTAGGTACATTAAATAACAAGAAATGAAATGAAATGGAGTTTAACTTCCCACTGTTCTGCTCCTAACCTGGGCTAATGAAGACAGGCACATGTCATACAGTGTGCTATGAGGGAAATTTTGCCCGGTAGCAGCTCTATGGCCTACTCTTATACCGAATTCTAACTGTCCTCAGTTTTTTATCCCATCAGAATGACTAGCCAGCTGCCCTTGTCAGGCCCTCTTTTCTGCACCAGGAGAAACCACGCTGGAAATTCCCGATGAACTTTCTGGGACAATCAGGGATCAAACACGCGATCTCCAGGCTAGCGAGCCAGTATCTTACCCACTTAGCCAACCTCATAACAATTTGCCTTCTGATCAAAAGTTAAACATGATTTTCCGACGTGGTTCCTCTCTTATCAGTGTTGCAGGATGGAGAGCCTTGCAAGGTACAATATAGTTGTTCGGATGGGATGAAAAACTGAGGTCCCGTGTACAAATTGACGTGCATGCAAAAGAACCAGAACAGTTGGACGTTAAATTTTGCCTGGCCTCTTCTTTCAAATTCCAACTGTCATTAGCTCTCTTAAGTGTATGCTAATGTGTACACAGCACCTCAGTTTTTCATCCCATTCGAACGACTATACAGCTGTCCCTCGCCAGGCCCTCCACCTTAGACTACTGACACGGGGGAACCACACACCTGAAAATCCTGATGAAGGTCATATTAGTACTGATGTACTGCTGTTCTGATAAAATAAATCTATATAACACATACCAAAGGGGAGGTAATTTTCAGCTGCGTTAACGTAAGCAACATTATCGAAAGCTGTGAGATCGTCTTCCTCTACTTCAACGAACTCTTTACCAGAAATATTGATAGAACATAAATCACTTGGATCATCCACACAACAATGTTTCATCTAAAAATAAATTTATATTAAAATTAGGGTGCGTTCAGGAGAACCGCAGTACACATAAAACACACAAAACATATAAACATATAAAACACACAAAACACTATAAACATATAAAACACTATAAACATATAAAACACACAAAACACTATAAACATATAAAACACTATAAACATATAAAACACACAAAACACTATAAACATAGAAAACACACAAAACACTATAAACATAAAACACTATAAACACTATAAACATATAAAACACTATAAACATAGAAAACACACAAAACACTATAAACATATAAAACACACAAAACACTATAAACACATAAAACACACAAAACACTATAAACATATAAAACACACAAAACACTATAAACACATAAAACACACAAAACACTATAAACATATAAAACACACAAAACACTATAAACATATAAAACACTATAAACATATAAAACACACAAAACACTATAAACATATAAAACACTATAAACATATAAAACACTATAAACACTATAAACATAGAAAACACACAAAACACTATAAACATAAAACACTATAAACATATAAAACACTATAAACACTATAAACATAGAAAACACACAAAACACTATAAACATATAAAACACACAAAACACTATAAACACATAAAACACACAAAACACACAAAACACTATAAACATATAAAACACACAAAACACTATAAACACACAAAACACTATAAACATATAAAACACACAAAACACTATAAACATATAAAACACACAAAACACTATAAACATAGAAAACAAAGGCCGACAAAACAAGAGAGAGAGAGAGATGTATTAAAATTGCTAGAATTTTTGCTCTTGAAATTAATGGTGGCAGTATATTTCATTAATTAATATCTTTGGCAAGTTATTAGATTCACATATATGTAGAATTGTACTTAAATGAACTTAGTGAATAAGTGACAGGTTGACACATAAAAAAGAGTTACAGAACCAAAACATAGCTGGTTGTATGTGTCAATAAAATACCACAAGATTACACGTGCTTGGAAATTTTCTAATTTCATTATTTGGCTAAAGTAACCAATCATATCAGAATTGCACAGGTTCAAGGCCATGAACAGGCTTTTCTGTGCATGATGTCCATATGTCCTATAAAAGAAATCACGGCAAACTTTTAAGGCAGACTTTCATTAGATTCCGGAGAGTTCACAATCTGAGTTCCAAGAGGGCAGCTTGATTCCAGAAGGGAAAAGATGTAGCAGTTTCTATCCGCAGACTCACCCAATGAGTCTGGCTGAATGAGGTTTGAGAGAATGACTTTATTCTATATATTATACATTGTACCATATGTAATCAGCTACGATGTATAAAATGTAAAAACGAACTGTTGCATTATTCCTGGTAACAGTAAGAAGTAAATACACAATTCACTTGTCTGTAGGGGTCTTTAGTAGTGGGAGGAAGCCAGAGGACCTGGAGAAAACCCACGAGGTTGGACTGGCAACCCTACTCCTTTTCGCGTACAACCGGGGAATCGAAACCACTCAACCCCCCTACAGACAAAACAAAACTAGGGACTAGACAAACTATTGCAAGAAATAAACAAATATATCAAGTGTGTTGATCATCATGTGGTGTTTTTTTAATTCCTTGTATGAAAAGTGAAACTTTAGTCTAAAAGGAATATCTGTCAAAGATTAAAGCATTCGCCATTCTCTGTAGAAATACAAACAGAGATAAAATAGGGTTTAACGTCCTACAGCTCAACTCTTACTGTGCTAATGAAGACAGGCATTCGCCATGAAATGAAATAGGGTTTAACGTCCTATGGTTCAGCTCTGACTGTTCTTAAGAAGACAGGCATTCACCATGCAATGTGCCATAAAATGAAATGAAATGGGGTTTAACGTCCTACGGCTTGGCTCTTACACAATATACACAAACCAGAATAATCTATTTTGGGTAAAATCCTTTTAACCTGATTGATTCCAAGCCAAGAAATTATCAATCGTTGATTTATTTTCTTATTTAAAATGTTGTTAGGCTACGTATTAATATTTAAATGTTGTCAGGCGAGATGTACATAAGTAATTTGAGTAAATTTGGGCTTGGACTGAATATTGTACGAAAAAAAAAAAAGTTTGGGATCTGTGATTTGAATACAAATAGATCAAAAGATCAATTTACCAAGAAAAATCCATTTAAATTTGGCACTTCCTCTTCTTCCCCTTCTTCTACTTCTTCCTCAAATTTACAATCAGTCAAACTTGTTCCTTCCTTTTCACATTTCTTTCTTTCCTCTTTAATCCGAGAATAGGTTCGTGGTTTCGTACATAACACGGCCTTAAATCTACGTCTCTGTTCAGCACGATGTGAAACAGCCCAGGCTCCTCCACCTAAAAGCAGAGAATAACTTACATTGATGTGGCAATAAATCAGTGACAGAGAATGAGAGAGACATGGTTTTTAACATCATCTCAACACAAACTAGGTCATTCTATGACTAACAGTAACATATGGTTTAATTTTATTAAAATAAGTTACATACATGTAGGGGGCTCCTCCAGCAATGTAAAATAAGTTACATACATGTAGGGGGCTCCTCCAGCAATGCGAAGAAACCAGAAGACCCTTAGAAAACCCATTATGAGGTTGGACAGGCGACATTACTCCTTTACATGTAACTAAAAGTTAAAAGCAAGAAATGAAGCCATTTGTCATATGATTTGACACACTGACAGACCTTTAAATCAAATAGACAAGGTTTTATAGTATTCATACCCCACAGTTTATGCACATATTTGGGCCAAGAGAGCAGCGATGGTCTAATTCAAAAGATATAATATAGAGCGGTGCTTGAGCAATGCTCTTTTACGGTAACGCAGGAGCGTAACTAAAACTGTCATCCACAGATCGTTGATTAAAAATAAATTCAGATCGGAACCGGATACACTGGGCAAAAATGGCAATGCGCATGCCAACTTACCAAATGTAGCTCAAACGAGATAATGGTCTCATAGAAATATTTTTATGACACGTTTAATCAATGACCTCACATATTTCTGACGTCAATGAAAATAATTCTCACACGTTTAATACAATTTAGATTTACAAATGTAAATTAAAATCAATTCGGAAAAACAAGATTAATTAAAATAACTTGTATCACTTTAGAAACTTAATTATGAAGGTTTTATATTTAACACCAATCACATCAGCTTCGCTCTACTCAGGAAATGACTGTTACATATTAATATTAAGAAGAAAATATAAATTGTAGGTGTACTTGTTGTAATCCTAATTTAGTAATGGGGGGTCGGATGGCCGAATGGTTAGCACATGCGCGCTGTATCATAAGGCCTATCATTGAGTCAACTGGCGTGGTTTCGAATCCCCGGTTGTACGTGACAAGGAGGAGTAGCCAGTAGGGTGGCCTGTCCTTGGGGTTTATCCACGGTCCTCCGGTTTCCTCCCACTACTAAAGACCCCTACGCTACGCACAAGCGAATTATTGAAATAAAATTAAACCATGTTAGTCCCAAGATGACCTAGTTTGTGGCAAGTGGACGTTAAACCCATTTCTCTCTCTCTTATTAGTAATTATCTTCTACTTTGAAAGCCTTTGTTGGCGTTATTTTTATTATTCGATTTTTTGTCTTTTGGCTTGGAAGTTCTAGATCTAAATCTACTATTTTTACTCTCAACAGTGACATTTGTTTGAAAGATTATTTATTCCATAATATTACCGTCATCATCCCGATGCTGTACACTTCTTACAGGGAAACAATTTGTTGCAAAAATCGAACTTCCTTCAGCATCTAACTTGATGCCAGCAAGCGCCATGTTTAAACATTTCCATAACAACCAGAGCAGGTGCTTTCATATATCAAACGGGAAAGCCTTCCCGGAATGCAATACTGTAAAAGTAAAATCATTATTAATCTTGTTATCAAAATTTGCTATCTTTATGGTTAATGTATTATTACTAGTTATTCATTATTGGTGAGATTATAAAAAACGTTCAATTATTTTGAATTATCTTAAAGTTCGTTTCGGAAAGTTTTCTCTAGTTAATCTTAAATTTTAACGTTTTATATACTTGATCGTCCAGACATTTTTAATAACATTCAAAAATATCTTATTTGACAACCAAGTCTTTAGTCTCGCGGGCGGAAATGCAAAACGAAAGAAAACGTACATATTTTGATATTTTGCTAAACGTGTGGTACGCTGAAGTGTATGATTCGCTTTAGGACCGACTTAGTTAAATCTTTAGCAACCAAGCAGGTATATTTGTTGAATTTTATAAATGTAGAATCAGGACTGTAGGTAGTAATTTAGTCGGAAATAGATGACCTAAATCAAAAAGTACAAATGAAATATAATATAATACTACTATACCTATACTATACATAACATAAACATACATGACATGGTTCTACAGATTTCCCGAATAATAATATCTACCTGGAAGAAGCCCACCAAATATTTTCCAATTGACTTTAATGTTTATTTTTGTTTTTTGGATTTTTTTTTTTTTCTGCAACTGTAGCCACCTGGATCTCTGGATAGAGTGGATTACTATGGTAGAGTGCGCCCGACGCTATCCGTTAGTTCCGTGGAGGGTTCACTAGTAGAGGTGTGGGAGTAGCCAACCAAGCAGCTGGCTCAGAAAGACTAACACCATGTTAATCAGCAACTCTTAATTGTTTTTCCAATACAACAATAAATCTTTTAAGTCCAACACTCATCAGCTCTCGCTCCTAACAGAGTTCTCTATAATCTTCCTAATCGTGCTCTCTAATAACGCTCCTTGTCGGGCTCTCTAAAACACTCCTTATCGGGCTCTCTAAAGCGCTACTTGTCGGGCTCTCGGTATCGCTCCTAGAAGGGCTGTCTGAATCGCTCCCCTTAAGTTGGGGTCAAACTGGAGAAATGGTCTCTCTCTCTTACCTCTACTGTTCACGACTCTATTCCACTCGATTCTGGGCAAAACAAGGTACTATATACCTAAAATTACGTGACGTAACCATGTGGTCTAGGACACACCTACTGGTCCTGCCAATCATAAACACGTGCAACCAATAGACAGCGGGCCAACGACAACGCATGTAAGGACAGAGTTACGAACATACATTTACAATATAAATAAGAATTAAAATATTGGCTACATAATAACAAAATTAAAGTTCTTAAGAGTTACAGTTAAGTTAAGTAATTACTAAATAAGAAAACTAGGTCATCTAAACTGAGGACGCGGATCGGGCTATGAACATGCACTTCAGATCACCACACAACTTTCGTTCAAAATTAAAGTACTGTAGCTAAGTCTCTAACTCAATATCATCCAAAGTCTTAAATGTTGAAAACACAAATTATTTGTCAATTCAAATCAACATTGACGTTATTATCTTACCGGGAAAAGGCAGGCTTCTGATATCCAATATTTAAGACAAAATAAACATTTTACCATTGGTACACGAATCGTGTACCATAGTGCGTTTCATCGTCATTTGTAACAAGTGACCAGAAAGAGCAAGGCTAGACATATTCCGCAACTCATGTTATACGGCGACGCCATAACTTATCTGGAGAGCATGCGCAATAGACTGGAATAACCAGACACTAGAAATTTCTGTTCGTTTGAGACTCATGCCATATTTCGCTGGACCTAACTTATTTGAAGTTAGAGTCAAAACGGAAACAATTGAATGTAAATCAGTTCATATACAATCAGATTACATTATTATATGCATTGCAACCCATTTGCGTCAATTTCTAGGTCCCAAATATTAGCAATTTAGCTCCTTTAATTGGGCTCAATGCTGTCCTCAGAAACGTAACAAGTACAGCGGAAGCTAGTTATCTTGTCCACATTTATGTCGACAATCGTCCACATGCATAATACCAGATTAAACATTACGGTAGGCAAAAAAATATGTAAAAAGATTTGATAATTATCAGGTGATGACAATGCTTCCCTTTATTTTTATGTAAACAAATGGCATCCCTTTTCATCTATGCGTTTGTCCTTGGAGGCTTTTCATACTCTGTATTGTACACAAGAGTTGTCTTGTCATCGTTTCCTCCCAAATTGATTAAAACACAAATCCTATTTCGTTTTGTTTTTTATAGTTCAAAATTTCGTTTTACTTGCATTCACCACACTCTGGAACATACTGCACGCAGCGACCCATCTACGTCATACTTCCCAGAATGTGACACTGCACTGATTATCCGCCATTTAAAACGATCATGTGATCATTTTGGGGCGGGACTTATCGATTTGACACCGCTTTGTTTAGACAACAAAGTAAAAATAACCCACGCACGTGTGTTTTATGTAAACACGGCATGTCGCTGACACTCGCGTAAAAGCGATATATAATATGTGCTATGGGTAATATTGCAATAAACTCTTTACCATTGTAAACTGTCTTTAGAGTTTCAATCTGTTTATCTTTCAAAACAAGGTTAGATACTCCTAAATTTGTTTTCGCAAACAAAACCGCCTCTGTGAAATTATGTTTCATGGGCGCCGCCATATTGAATAATTAGAGGACTATTTTGTGATTCGGCTTTGATTAGTTTGACATCTTTCATACACACAGCGGCTAAATAAACATATTTAATTTCATTCAATATGACAATAGAAGAGAAATAAATACTTTTAAAATTTTCTAAAAGCATACTCAGTGTTTTCGACTAAAATCGTCGATGTAGGAATTTAAATGTCGGTTAATTAGCTAAGGGCCTATTCTCTGCCGGAGCTAGCTGTATATAACCTGCATTCTGGTTGATGTGAGGAATTAGTCAATGAAATTGTTTGTTGTGGAGAGTTCTTGGCATGCTGTGCACAGAACTGTGGGCAGATTTTTGCAGCGAAGACAGAGCAAAAGTTGTATTTCTAAATACCCAATTGAAACATAAACACTGATAGTGATTGGTGAATCAAATATCTGATGACATAGGATCAAAAGTCACTCCCTTAACGTGACCCCCCACTACAGCTGGTCAAATCTTCATGTAGTAAAGGATATCGAAAATATGAAAAAAAACGAAACGAAATATAGATCTGTATTTTAATCAGATTGTGTTTACTCATAAGTGATGCGGGGATCACGTGGCTAACTGGGTAAGACACTGACTCGCTAGCCTGGAGGTCAGGTGTTCGATACCTGCATTGGCCAAGAAAGTCCATCTAGATTTTCCGGCGTGGTTTCCCCTTGTCAGTGATGCAGGACGGAGGGCCTGACCAGGACAGCTGTCTAGTCGTTCGGATGGTACAAAAAACCGAGGTCCCGTGTACAAATTGATGTGCAAGTAAAAGATCCCTTGGCAGTTGGAATTTGATATAAGAGTAGGCCGTAGGGGTGCTGCCCGGGCAAAATTTCCCTCATAGCACACTGTATGGTGTATGCTCGTCTACATTAGCCCAGTTTAGGAGCAAAACAGTAGGACGTTGAACCCCATTTCATTTCATAAGTGAGGCCTGGTACCCCTCCCTCCATGGTGAGACCCGGTAACCCTCCCTCCTTGGTGAGGCCCAGTAACCCTCGTTCCTTGGTAACCCTGGTACCCCTCCCTCCCTCCCAACCAGTTGGAATTCAATTAAAAGCAGATAGATTGGCGTTTCTGCATCACCTCAATTTGCAGAGAAAAAGTGGGATGTTAAACCCCATTTCATTTACCAGTCCTTTGTTTGTAAAATGAAATAAAAACTCTGAATCTGTTTTTATCTTATTGTAGATTTGTTTTAGAAAGATGTGATTTACAGTTGATAAAGAGATGAAGTGAAAAACAATATTTATTAAAGATAGCAATGGGTAGACGTCGCTCTTCTTACAGTTCTTCTAGTGACAGTTCATCTGATGACAGCAGGAAACGTAGTCGATCTTTGTCGCCTAGTAATAAACGTCACAGAAAATATTCACAAAGTCGTTCTAGATCCCCGCCAAGCCATTCTAGATCCCCTCCACGGCAAGCAAAAAACTATAAAAGATCTCGATCACGAACACCGGAATATAAATACTCAAAATCTTCTAAACAATACAGATCAAGATCTCCCAATTACAGAAGATCTAGGTCACCACAGGTCAGAAGATCATGGTCACCAGCATACAGGTCAAGGTCTCCAGCATACAGGCCAAGGTCACCACAATCTAGGTCAAGACCTCCCAATGATAGAGGTCCCCCAAATCAAGTTGGCAGGTATTAAAACCCTTATATTACCTAAACTGAATGTTTATAAAACCTGTGCTTTCGATTACCCATCAACCCGATATTTGTTTTATAAAAAGGCTGAGAATGTTCATTTGGATTTTGTGGCATTGTTCTCCCTTGTTAGTGATGTAGGATGAAGTGTCTGACAAAAGATAACTTTATAATCATTCAGATTGGACAAAAGGCTGAGGTCTTTGATATAAGAATAGGCCATGGAGCAGTTGTCCGGACAAATTGCCCTCATATCACACTGCATAGCGTATGCCCATCTTCATTAGCCCAGTAGGACGGTAAACAACAGTTTATTTCATTTTAATAAAAATATCATCAATAGTAGACAGAGACACTGTTCCATTCAGATATCCTTTATCAATGTATGGTTTCTTCTATTGTATTTACAGAAATCACCATAGTAACAGCTTTCATAGAGAAAATGGCCATCACCATGGTCACCATCATAATCACCATAGAGACAGTCCTGATGTCATGGAAATGTAAGTTGTTTTATTTGAGAATCAATCCATATCATAAATTTCAATTTTCAGACATTTTAACAACACCTGATCTTTAGTGATCCAATATTATTTGTGGTTTAACTACCACAAACATTAGTCGGGACCAAATAACAGCCATTTTGTATAAGGGTATTTGTAATGCAAGGGCTTATGGGAAATGTTTGGCGAAATATAGCCTAGTTGGAACTGACATGCTATAAAACTCCATTTTATTCATTCATTGATTCAGGGGATCACAGTGGCTAAGTGGGTAAGACACTGGCTCGCTAGCCTGGAGGTCGGGTGTTCGATCCCTGCATTGCCCGAGAAAGTTCACCCAGATTTTCCGGCGTGGTTCCCCCATGTCAGTGATGCAGGACTGAGGGCCTGACAAAGACAGCTGTCTAGTCATTTGGATGAGACAAAAACCGAGGTCCTGTGTACACATTGGTGTGCACGTAAAAGATCCCTTGACAGATGGAATTTGATATAAGAGTAGGCCGTAGTGCCGCTGTCCAGGCAAAATTTCCCTCATAGCACACTGTATGGCGTATGCCCGCCTTCATTAGCCCAGGTTAGGAGCAGAACAGTAGGATGTTAAACCCCATTTCATTTCATTTCATTCATTCATCCAAAATGATTTCAAATGTCAGGTGAATGCCATTTTTGATCTAAACCAATCGAAAGACATGCAAGATTCTTTGCATGACCTTTGACACTATATACATATGAGGAACTATTTTGTTCAGACTACAACTCAGAGAAAACTGGGACTGTGATTGATTAAAGGGACTGTGACAGATTAAAGAGACTGTGACAGATTAAAGATTAAAGGGACTGTGACATTAAAGGGCGTTATGGTAGTATGAGATCCAAATAACATCAGTATATTTTAATCACTTCAATCCCTATATTTTAAATGATAATTTTTGAAAATAATGTAATTTATTTGAAGAAGGGAATCTATAAATGAGAAAATATACTGTAACAAAATGGCTATTTTTTTTGTTTTTATTTTCAGGAGAAGAATAGAAAGAGAACGATTAGGTGCTATGGGTGTTTGTGAAGTTTGGGGAGCATCTCCGCCCCATCCCCTCACCGACAGGTTAGTTTTAAATTATAGTTTGATGAGCTATCCCACCCCGCTCACTGACAGGATGGTTTTAAATTACATGTATAGTTTGGGGAGCATCTCCTACCCCATCCCCTTCACTGACCCCCTCACCCCCCAGCCTTTTATTGACAGGTTAGAGTTAAATTATTGTTAAACTGGTGAAAATACCCTAACCCTAACCCTTGCCACATCTGTTCATTCCGAGAGCTTTCTTGTATGATGTATCAGCCTCCTCTAGAATTAAGACTTTCAAAATCCAAGCAAACCTTCAAATCTCGGCTCAAAACATTTCATATCAGAAATCCTTTGTTAAAGAAATAATTAGTGATAATTCAGGATGCAGCAGCAGCACATTAGAGACTTTAGAATTATTGTATTATAAATGTTGATATATAATTATTATTAATTGATATGAACCGTATCTAAATGATGTTTTGACTTTATAGTTCTGAATCAGAAGCTGAAAAGAAACTGGATAACAGTGACTCTGATACAGATTCTGATGACAGTAGTTCAGAAGGTATGTTGTATGATAACCAAGTCTACAGTTCAAAAGTCACCCAAAATATTGAATTATGAAAATAGAAAATAACCTTCAAAGAGCTCAGACGGCAGGAACTAAAAAATGCTAATCCGATATATTGGGCTGAATTTGATTAAAATTCACAAAACGTTGTCGAAACGTTATATAAAACTGCTGAATAACAGAGCTTGTGTTGAAACGTTATATAAAACTGAATGCAAGAATTTTAAAATAAGTGTATGCCCTATCTATAAACACTCAACTTACAGATAATATCCCTAGCAATGGAAGTTCTATTCATACATGCGTCTCTCACAGATAGTATCCCTAGCAACGGAAGTTCTATTGGTACATGCATCTCTGGATAAAACTGTAACAGATGTTAATTATTGAATGTCAACATTACATCCCACTTTATCGTCTTTATATTGTCAGTGTAGAATAGTAGGACGTTATGTTAAACCCCATTTCATTTATTTAGAGGAATATTTACTAGACCTTTCTCATTAAACACCATGAATTTATAGCCATCATATTTTTATATTCTTTTTAAATTTGAACAGAAGAGAAGAAGAAGAAGAAAAAAACTAAGTCTAGTAAATCAAGTAAAAAGAGGAAAAAAGAGAAAAAAAAGAAGAAGAAAAGGTACAAGTCAAATTAACATTGTTGTCGCTTCTGTACGTCCGAATATCTGTGTGTCCGAATGTTCGTTCACATTTTCTTTGTGGACTGGACACTCTACAGGTCACAATTTTTAGCCCATTTTGACGAAACTTAAAATATCGATTTAAATTCCAAAAGACCTTGGTTCCTATTGACGCATGTCTGAATGCAACTTCCATTATGGCCTTCAATGGTACTTCTATTTTTTAGGTTGTTCTCTGTTCATCTCTTGTAAAATATGGGCGTATCTTGTTGCATGGCAACTGCTTCAGCTTGCTAAAGAACATTTTAGTACAAAGTTTATTCAAATCGATCAACTTTAACTTTAAGTTATGGCCGTTTAAAGTTTACATTGATGTCTGTTGCTTTCACACGTTGTCCATCTTTATCTGTCCTAGACAGTTATTAGTTTTGATGTTTAGTGGGTGAGCAGTGGAGGCTCAGTGATTAATGAGATAGACGGTTCAGTTCCAGTGATTAATGAGATAGACGGTTCAGTTCCAGTGATTAATGAGATAGACGGTTCAGTTCCAGTGATTAATGAGATAGACGGTTCAGTTCCAGTGATTAATGAGATAGACGGTTCAGTTCCAGTTTGAGCAGAGAATGTACCTCAGGATTTTCTGGCATCATTCCCCTAGTCAGTGCCGGGTCGTACAAGTTCCCTAGTCAGTCATGCAGCAAGGAACAGTGCCGGGTCGTACAAGTTCCCTAGTCAGTCATGCAGCAAGCGGGCTTGGCAAGGAACAGTGCCGGGTCGTACAAGTTCCCTTGACAGTTGGAAATTGTCCAGGCAAAATTACTTCAAACTTGGTCAATTCCCGTCTTTGTTAGCCCCCTATTTGACGTGATATTTATTAGTGTAACTATCTAGTTTTGATATATATTTATTAGTGTAACTATTTAGTATTGATATATATTTAATTTATCTAGTTTTGATATATTTATTGTAGTAAGAAATTAAAGAAGGAAAAAAAAGCGAAAAAGAAAAAAAAGAAGAAAGACAGTGAATCATCGGATGAAGAATTGGACGAAGAAGAAGAAGAGGAGATGGAAATATGGACAGAAAAAAAAGGTAAGAATTTAGAAAAATATATCTGTGGTCTGTTCATTTTATAAATCTAAGTACAGTGGCATCAGTTGCCCCTAGTATAGTAAAACACCAGGATCAGTTGCCTCTGGTCAGGGTTCTTAATCCATTTTGAAACAAACCCATAAATATAACCAGACTTGAACAAAAATAATTTGTTATGAGGAATATCGATCGTATTCTATTGAATGTAATTAGCACAAATATAACGACAAATAGGTAGTAGTACACCGTTTGGAAAATTTTCCGTTTTTAATTCACGTACCAGCTTGAAATTCATGTCAGTAATATTCCTCAATAAATTACTGTATTCGTTTTTTGGTTTATTTCAATGGATATATGTTATTTCTTCATAACACAATTTGTAGGGTTTTTTTTCTATCACGTAACATGCAAATGTTTTTATTCATTCGTCCATGATAGACACATACGGCACAGTGATCACGTGACAACCATAATTGAAATGGCTTTAAAGTTAAATTCCATACGGCGTATGATAATAAGGGCAATATTTTTTTAAAAAAATAAGCCTCTGTCAGCATGTGTATAAAATAAAAAATCATAACGGTAAACACTATGTAAAACTTAAACTAGCATCGCTGGTTTACTGACCTAATTTCACCTGATATCACCTGTCATCCCGAATTTGGCATTGGAGAATCATAATATTATTAATGACTGTTTCTCGGTGTATTCGGTGTTCTATCCGAGGATTATATAACTAACAACTGGTCAGTGAAACCATTAAATTATGATCTAATTATTAATTTAATATCGACCGGTACACCTGTAATTCATATGGAGTGTTTAAGGCGGACGATAGATGCACAATCCATGCCGAGATCGCCTTCCTTCGTTTGCTGCATGGCTGTTAGTGTTATGAATAATCAGCAAGCTTGTTTTGTTTTTTTACCGGTCGATTATCAAAATTACGGTTACTTCACTTGTGCTAATTACTCGGATTATGAACTACGTACGGCCGATTTTCACTAGGGTATGACTGTTGTTGTAGCCGACAAGCAAGTTGATTAACTTATTAATTAACAAGTAATAATTAACCAGTTGTAATTTAGCGGAGAGTAGATTGATTTATGATACCATAGTGGCTGATTCATTGTTTTACCAATCGGATTGATTGAACTTTAAGCGGCTAAAGCCGACAAAAAACAGCCGATTAAGATCCTTGCCTCAGGTATAACACTACGCCAACACCAGTTTCCCCTCGTATAACAGGACACCAGCATCAGTTTCCCCTGGTATAACAGGACACCAGCATCAGTTTCCCCTGGTATAACAGGACACCAGCATCAGTTGCCTCTGGTATAACAGGACACCAGCATCAGTTGCCTCTGATATAAAAAAGAAGTTTCTGGTTCACTCCCAATGTTTCCAAGAAATTTCCTCTGAATTGTCTGGAGTCGCTTCCCCTTGTCAGTTGTGCATTTCATTTTCTCTATTCTTCAGTAAATGTTGGTGTAGAGGATGATGGTGATGTTGTTGGACCTCAACCTTACACACAATCAGCTCAAGCCAGTAAATTAGAGTAAGTAAATTAATTTATTATTATACCTGTTTAGATTACAACTCAAACTAACTGGTTAGGATACAACTCAACCTGATTAGATTACAACTCAACTTGGTTAGATACAACTCAACTTGGTTAGATTACAACTCAAACTAATAAATTCAGGCTTCCACAAGTTCAGAAGTAGGGGACTCCACAAAACATAACAAACATCATTGTTCCAATACAAGTCTCGTGGGCACCTCAATACATACATCGGTCTCCCCAATACATGTCTTGTGAGGTCCACAATACATACATCGGTCTCCCCAATACAATTCTCGTGGGCTCCACAAAACATAACATCAGTCTCCCCAATACATGTCTTGTGGGCTCTGACAGAATATTGCAAAATTTACCAACAAAATGGCTGATTTTAACCAGTTGGTAAGTTTTTCAATTTTAAAAAATCTAAAAATAATGAAAGTAAAATGTTATCTGTTGTAGTTATGGACATGCGTTGTTACCAGGTGAAGGTGCTGCTATGGCTGCCTATATAGCAGAAGGTAAGAGAATTCCCAGAAGAGGAGAGATTGGTCTAGAGAGTGAGGAAATAGAAAGTTTTGAATCCATGGGTTTCGTGATGAGTGGAAGCAGGTTGGTTTGTAATATTAATATTCTTTGTTTTTGTGTTTCTTATTCACGGGTGTATTAAAAAAATAATCTTGTTCATTTCATTGATATAGTTAGTTGGATATTCTCGAATTGAATTCTCTCAATTGAGTAAAAAGGGAATTATCTCAACAGACTGACATCTGAAGCATATTCATCACGATTGTGACAGGACTGAATTCTGTGTCACATGATTGTAACACTGTCAGTTCAGAACGTTCTGGACCGAGCCTCCCACTTTATTTTAATAAACCTCAATATTCCCCCAGACTATGGCTAAACCAGTTTAATGTTTAGTTCTATGTGGTCAAGTTCAAAAATTAAATATTTGGAACTTAAACCTTTTAACAAGAGCAACTAAGTTATTTTGAAATGACCTCATTTCTGTTGAGTGGACGTTTAACCCTGTTTCTCTCGGGGGCCACGGTGGCTAAGTGGGTACACGTAAAAGATCACTTTGCAGTTGGAATTTGATATAAGAGTAGGCCGTTGTGCTGCCCAGGCAAAATTTCCCTCATAGCACATTGTATGGCGTATGCCCATCTTCATTAACCCAGTATAGAGCAGAACAGTAGGACGTTAAACTCCATTTCATTGCATTGCCTATTTCTCTCGCTTAGGGTCACTTTGATTGAAGAATGATAGTTATTTTAATCCTTTTTTTTATTTTCTACAGACATCGACGAATGGAGGCTGTACGTCTGCGGAAAGAAAACCAGATTTATTCTGCCGATGAGAAACGAGCCTTAGCGAACTTTAATCACGAAGAACGGACAAAACGTGAAACAAAAATCTTATCACAGTTTCGTGAAATGGTGTCGCGGAAAACACAGGGCAAAGAGTAGATATGAACTATTAAATTGGACAAGGCAGCACCAAGTGTTGAAAGTGTTATGTAGTTATGATTAAGCGTTCATAGGAAACTTGAGATATTGACACTAACTGATGATCTCTTAGTATTAATCGATTCTTGACAATAATAAATTGATCAGATTAACCTGTTTAAATAATTCCAGGTGATTCATAGTGAAGAGATATAATTCCTTGTTATCAATGTTAATATACTAACTCCATTGATAATCACTGTGTTAATAGAAATCATTGTGTATGATATTCATAAGAAACACCAGTTGTATTAATTTTTATCAAATTGTAAAATAAACCTTCATTATGTATGGTATGATATACTGATATATGGTATGATATACTGGTATATGGTCTGATATATGGTATGGTATACTGATATATGGTATGATATACTGATATATGGTATGATATACTGATATGTAATAAACTACACTATATCGAATTTCAAAATATCTGGAGTAATAATCTCTCAGGTGACATTTTTCTCACCTGTGGTTTCCCCTTGTCAGTGATGCAGGATGGAGGGCCAACACTGGGATCTCCATCTTAGTGAGCTAGCACCTAACTCCTGTGTCAATACAACTCCCTGAGCTACCACAACTCCCTAACAGGGGTCTTGATAACCGGGTTCGCATCGCAGTTAGCGAATCAATTCTTGCCCGTTGCTAATCAATTTGCCACAAAATAGCTAACTTGATTCGCACAAATGCTTATCATAAATATTGCTTCTTTTATTTCTCACATGGACAATTTTATGTCCCCTTTTTAATTGTAAATAGTTTTGGACAGTTTTTATAAAGTTTTTTTGACATTTCTTCGTCAGTTTAGTCACGATCATCTAGAATCTATTACTGGTAAAAGCAAAGTTTTAGCGCCCCCTATATGCACGGAGTTACATCCCCCTGATTGTTTTTTTTTTTAATTAAAACAGGCGGGTTTTTTTTTGATAAAGTAAATATAATCCATTGATTTTCTTCACAAAATGGGATAGATATTATGGAATATATAACAAAGATAGGCACCAGTATTGATGCGGATACTAAATGACGAATTTATAACGGATATTTGCAGCAGTGAATTTTCAATCGACAACAGCGATCTTCGTAGTTGTAGGCTAAAGTCTGTCAATTTTTTCGATGTATGACCGATGCATCGCAAGTATCGATGTTAGATCCTGATGCATCGACACGTAAAATATTATTTGATTGATATCAGCACTGACGAGTGAATGGCTGTTACGTCAACAAATGACATGGTTGTGAATATTGAATGTTCAAAAAGACGAATCAACCGAGAAATGTCATCAAAATTATTCCGATAGGCCTACTACGTGTCATGAGAGAGGATACACAGCAATGAGCAGACATTAAAATATTTTTAAACAATATTTTTGAAATAGTGGGACTGGATAAACCTTTGCATAATATTGCAAAATTCAACAGATAGATTTTACTTCACAGTTTTCCGAAATTGTAGTCAATGGATATTCACACACTGCTAATCAAAATTGGACATTGCTAATCAATTTGCCTGAATTTATCTAACTTGATTAGCAGTTCTGCTAATCAAGTTCGAAAAGTTATCGAGACCCCTGCTCCCTAACCCACTGTGCCACCGTGACTCCCTAACTCACTGTGCCACTGTGACTCCCTAACCCACTATGTCACTGCGACTCACTGAGCCACCACGACTGCCTGTGCCACTACGAACCCTGACACCAAACAAAAATATGGTATACAATTGCATTCAGGAAAAGTTAAAAAAATAAAATACTTCTAGAATACAGCCTTTTCATTGACTATGAGCCACAAATTTTGTTTGCTGCGAACCAATAAACAGTTAGCATTGTTAAAATATGTTTTTGTAGGCTCCTGACCAATTCAAATCTCAACTTGTTTGTGATATCATAGACAAGTCGTCTTATTTTCATTTGTATTATGCTTAGTGTACGCGCAAGGGTCTTTCCTGTTGGAACGCACCCCCTAGGTTGAGAAGGCACCCCTATCTTTAAGCCACATCTGATCACTCAAGGGATGGAAACCACGACCAGTCAGCAAGAGCTTGACCACTAGAACATCCTAACCTCCTCCACTTGTAAATTTAGTCTTAGCAATGGATCGTCAGGTTTATCTCAAAGTTTACACACAATCTGATTGGTCAAATCAAGTCAAACAAAAAAAACCACCTTATTTATTATGATCAGTTAGAAACCCTAAAGTGAAAGTGCCCCTGTAAAATTTGAACTGAAGTAAATACACAAGTGCTGCTGTGCATATACATAGGGGTTCAATCTTAGTTGGGTAAGGGGGGAGGGGCTGAAGCTATTTGCCCCATAATTCTCTTTGTCACCTGAATTTTCAGAATGAATCAATCAATAATCAAAAAGAGTTTTCCACAAAGATTTCATTGGTTTTTTTATATTTAGTTAATTACACAATTCCACACATAAATTTACGATATGTTGAGCTGCAAAAAACAACTTCATGTTCCCCTCCCCCCCGCTCACGGCTCCTACGCCTTTTCTGCTGTGTCAGTAAGACTCCATTTGCCGTTCATCACCACCTAGCCCTTCAGAAAACACTATCCTAAATGTCATCTATATATATTTCTTAAAAGCACAAATCTGGAGGTACGATCGACGGCCGCGGGTTATTATTATATTTTTTTTATTTACTCTATAATCCATTCATAGAAAAAGGATTTTTCTAAAAATAAAATTGGGTGTCATCGCAATCTTGGGTGGCGACATTTTTCGTTTCACAGCAGGATAAATTCACGTCCTATCATTTCAATCAGCTAAAGGCCTACATTAGTTAGATTTATCACCAGACTTTTAAATTTAAAAATGAAATGCGGAGCATAACCGTCACATATATATTAATAATCTGTCTTAACACCTTATCTATCCATGTCTACCTCATACCTATGCCAATACGTCACCTGGCGGTAAACATCAAAGGAGGGTCACTTAGCCTCCACCTTATAGGGTTCAAAGGTGACATGTCATCATACCATATCTTTGCGCGGGCAAGAAATAAAAGAAATGTATTCCTACAGTTGCTGTTGCAAGTGTACAAAGATGAAATGATACGAAATATGTCAGTTGTGCTTTAAACATTTTACAATGTTTTTGTTCTGCACAAAAAATAAATTTATTATTGGCACTATATTCTTGGCGGAGTGATAAAGCGAGACACACCCTTGATACAACATGGCGGTTCAATATGTAGCGAAACAGTTGGTCTGTCCAAATGGAATTATCAAACTATTTATTTGATTTTATACCAATTGGCAAAATTAATTCTGTAACTTAGGTAGTAACAATTTAATTAACACGTAGGAACCAGCTGTGGAACGGAAATTAAGGGAGAAAACCGGATTTAAAGTAACTTTTGTAACAAGTGTCAAACTGCAGAGTTGTCTCCGAATCCGTGTCGTCTTTTCTAAGTTTTTGGTGTCTACCATAAGAAATGAAAATGGCGGACAGACAGGTATTTATTCTAATATTAATTTAAAACTGCTATCAGGGTATTTAAATGATGGGTTGGTGAGTTCTTTGAAGTCTTTATAGTGGTAGAATTTTCTTCCTGAACGATAGCCAGTCATTATTGTTGTTGATTAGAACATTGAGTCGGTCAGGTGTCACCCAGTTCTAAAAATAGAATTAATACCCAATGTAGGCTTATATTTACTGTGATTTGTTATTTATCAATATATTTGATGTCAATGACAGGGGTTGAAAGGATCATAATAAATTTGGCAATATAGGATTTTAGGTCTTGATTCTTAGAACTAGAAGTAGAATTTTAAAATGACAAGACCTTTCACTTTTTGTCTAGCTCTGAGATCATCATACAACCTATAACTACATGTAGCTGTAGTAAAAAATAAAAATGTTGATTTGACTAAATTGGATTTGTTTAGTGAAGTTGGTCTCTGTATATGTTCCAACCTCGTGGGTTTCTCTCTGTATACGTTTATAATTGCATTTATAATTGCAGGTAAAATCTATGCAATGTGACTGATTCAATTAAAATTCAGTACTCTACATTTTATACTGTGTTTTCAGAAAGCAAACTCGGCCACACGAAAAATCTAGTTAACTGTGGACAAGTTGGCATGTGGACGAGTTAATTGGCACCCTGTTTCCATCTTCAGCCTGGGCACCTGTTATAAATATTGTCTGGCACAAATTAAAGTTATAAACGTCTCTTCCACAACATGACCCCAGGCCTGGATATAGGCCTAACCAGGCATCTGTTTCACACATGTACCGTATACAAAATGTAATCTTGCAAATTATTCAGAATAAAATTTTTCAAAAGTAAACTTGGATTGAATAGACATCCTGTTTCACTTTTCTTATACTGTTGATGGCCTTCACATCATGCTTGGAAGGTGTTGTCAGTGCCAGAGATAAACTTGGGAGGTGTTGTCAGGGCCAGAGGTGAACATGGGAGGTGTTGTCAGAGCCAGAGGTGAACTTGGACGGAATGAGGAAAAGTACATGTATTTTAGTATTGATGTGTAATTTGTCCACCACTGTTTTATAATTTGTCTGTCACTGTATTTGACATGTGACTCACAATATTACATGCACTATTATCATAAATCTTGACAAAACCGACAATTTCACTGGCTAATTCCATGCACTGTTATGTGAAATCTTGACTAAACATACCGAACACAGTTTGTTTTTTTTTTGTCGGATTCCACTGTAGTTAAGACAGATGAAATGATATTTGAACTATAAAAAACTGAAATGAAATAGGATCTGATTAAATCTCTCGTTGTTTGTGATTGTTTTTTTAATGAATATACATGTATACACGTATTTAGAGAGAGTAAAAATCGGGGTTAATGTCCACTTGACACAAACTAGGTCATTTCGAGACTAACCCGTTTCAATTTTATTTCAATAATTTTCCTGGGCGACAGGATCTTTAGTTGTGGGGGAAAACAGGTGGACCTGGTGAAAACCCACCACGGGGTACTCCTTGTCATGTACAAGCGGGGAATCGAAACCATGGATGTCACTTGACTCATTCATTATCAGACCTTATGATCTAATGCGTGGGTGTTAACCATTGAGCCACCCCCCCCCCCCCCCCATATCAATGGTCAAGTCAGTTATCTCCATAATATCTTCCTGCTTGATTCATATTGACTTCAGGATCTGATATAACTTCATATCTAATTTATCATTATATTAACAGTGAATAAATATTTGATATATTTTATTTAATTTCCTCATTCTTGTTGCCTCTTTCAACTCTGTGGTAAATTTTAGATTTAATTCAATAACACAATAATTTCAATTTATATCCTGATCTTTTAGAGTTTGGATCATAAAGTATGAAATAGTAAGTGCAGGTTGACCGCCCTATACATGAAAGAAAGGCGACAAGACAGACCTACGGACAAGACATACTAGTACTACACGGACATGGCAAGATAAATATCAAATCAAGTTAATGGATCCGGGGGCCCAGTCGTAAACGCCCACTGCTTCCCTAAAACTTATCCCAGTGCATTTTATCCCAGTAGGAGCCTTAGTGAATGTTTTGATTGAAATGACTGATTAGTTGGGTGTGTTTCAGATCATAAGGTCTGTTATTGCGATAATAGCATGGTTTTAATTCCACACGGAGTAGGATCGACTGCCTAACCCTAGGTGTTTTATTAAATTAAAACTGTACCATATGTTAGTCCCAAAATGATATGCTATTGTTGAAACATTGCAGTAAAATAAACTCTAGTAATTGTTATCCATAAATAGTGTTACATGTATATTTGATTATTTTCCAATTCCAATTACGCTTTGACTAGTATTCTCTTATTGTTATCAATTTATATACATTTAGGAGGAAGTTTCAACAAATATAGCACAACGTTTCGACAAGTATTCCCTTATTCTTATCAAGCACAAATATCTATTGTGTCTAAAAATCATAAAATGGTCCCAAAATTGATAATTTCATTTGAATGAACTATTTGAATAGAAAAAGTGACATTTAATGTGACTATACATGTACTTGAAATGCCCAAAACTAGATCAATAGATTATATAAATAATATAAATTCCAAGCACTTGTTGTTAGTCCCAGATTGACCTAATTGTGTTGAGTGAACATAAAAACTCAATTTCCTCTTCCTACAGCTCTTGATTAGATGTGATGTTGACATGACTAGCTGTAAATATAGGAAATATAAACTGACGAGATTAACTAAACATATCAGTAATGAGGTTTACATTTGATCATTTTAAATAAAATAAAATAAAGTGCATTATCAGGTCTGATTATTTACACAGTACTTTATGTATGTAAGAAGTTATTCAGTGCGTATACAGTGTATACAGCGTCTAGATAATATGAGGGACAGTCTGTAAGGCGTAGGGTTTTATTGATACAGGGACAATCTGTCTACCTACTGTAAGGCGTAGTGTTTTATTGATACATGTGAGTTAATGTACAATGTAGGGTCCTGTTGATAATGTGTGGGTCTATCTTGATAAGGTGACTCTAACTAATATACGTGTAGGGCCCCTATTAATGTACAGTATCTGTAGGGTTCTATTAATAACTAATGTACAGAACATGTACCTGTGAGTTACAGTCTGTAGGTTGGTATTAATACGACACCACACCTATCTATTTGATAGTAGTTATTGTTTAAACAGCAGGTACGAGTCGTGATTGTATGTAGGAATAAATTCACAGTATAATCAGTAAACCAAACATCCAGGTTAATTTAAACTCTGTTCATGTATATAGTCATAATATTTACATTATCATCTGAATTTTTATACAAGTGTATGACGTCAATGTCCAGTCTTTGTGGATCGTGAATATAGAAGATTTTTTATTATTGAATTGAGGTACATATAAATAAATCAATCGCATTACGTACGTACACAGATTAAACATACATTATACAAGAGCTGAATCTGCCTATTGCAGGTCTTTCTTTAGGCCTGAAATGTTATCTAAATTATTAATTAGACATTAATTAACCTATCCAGACCATAATCAACTCTTAATGCCATCGCTAGCCTTTGATATTTTTTTAAAAATAATTGAACGTAAAAATGGATGATCGAGACTTTGTTTTTTATTGAATCGACTTTAGTAATGATGATCGAGGCTAGGCCAAAAATTCAATCGCTAAAATCTTGGTTCAGAGTGGATCAATTTGACTGGAATTTTCAGCAAATACCCTTTACAATATCTAGTTTTTAACTATTCTAGTGAGAACTGCCAACTATTTATCTTATCTCCCATAATATATCTTTAATATTAGGGTATTATCTTTTATCTGTTACAGTTAAAGCTAGTATTATTTGTTATTACATGTACCGACTGTGGTACATTGTATTTTTAGAATTATTTCAAGATGATGTACGATATAACAACAACTGTAAAAGCTAGGATTAAATTAAAGATGACACGATTTTATTTGTTTCTCAATCTTGGGTTAATCTTGACGACTGGCCAGTTAGTTTGTTCTGTTCCAAGTCCAATATTGACATACAGCCATCTCATCCAACCTCTGGCTACAGTTTAGTAGTTCTGATATATGGACTTAGACGACGGTCATAGTGTCCTCTGATACATAATGACGTCTCATTTTATAGTGTTGATGATCTCAAGTTACGAACAAATTGTGAATTTAATAAGTTTAAAAGTCATTTTTCATTTAAATTTCTCTTAAAATATCTAATTTTTCACGCTTAATTCATGTTAATATCTACTCAAATGAATTAAAATTTAACATTTAATTTATTAAACATACATTATGCAAGCGCTAAATCTGTCTAGTGCAGTTCTTTCTTTAGGCCTGAAATATTATTTAAATTATTAATTAGACATTAATTAACCTATCCAGACCATAATCAACTCTAGATGGCATCGCTAGCCTGCGATCTTAAGTGGATTATGAGCCGATTTACTGCATAACTTTCCTTCTCGATTAAACGATTAAATGGATAATCGAGACTATGCTGTTTATCGTACTGACTTTAGTAATGATGATTTAGGCTAGGCGGAAATTTCAATCGCTTAGTTCTCGGTTCATAGTGGATCAATTTGAATGAAATTTTCAGCAAATTGCCTTTACATTATGTAGTTTATAACTATTATAGTGAGAACTGCCAACTCGTTATCGAATCTCCCATAATGTATCTTTAATAAATGAAAAATAATAACAGTAGATATTCTCCCTGCTTGCTTTCTGATATCACAGGTAGATATTATACAAATGTAGTTCTGCTCTGATTGGGTTAATGAAGACTTTCATACACCATAGTGTAATACCAGGACCGTGGCGCTACTGTTTTGTTTTAATAGTTCAAAATTTTGTTTTACATGTCTTAACTACACTAGGATCTGGAAAAGTTGTTATATTACCCGCATTTTGGTTGAAGAGAGAGATTAGCCAAAGAAACAGTCTGTTACGGCGAGTTCTTGGCCTTTTGATGCATGGAACTGTGGGTAAACCACTAGAAATGTCAATGCTGATTGATTAATCAATGTCTGACGTCATAGGGTCAAAAGCCGCTCATTTGACCCCTGAGGTGACTGCCCACTATAACTTGTCAGATCTTCATGTAGTGTAGGCCATTGAAAGTATAAAAAACCAAAATGAAATATAGATCTGTATTTTAATCACATGGAGATTGCAAGAGATATTTAATATTCATGTTCGTTAAAGTGAATCAAAACATTTTTCTGTAGAAAAGAATGATTGAGTTTCATATCCTATTGTTCTACTCCGACTGATGAAGACAGGAATCCCTTCACTACGTGACACATGTGTTATGTTTTTGGACAGAGCTTTGAACATGCATGGATATTACTGAACATAAATAGACTTTTTGAGACAGAATAACTCTACTCAATGGAGTTAGGATATTCATTATGTTATTTTCAATTTCAGTCGAAAGGTTTGATTGATCCGGAAGAGCGTTTTACGAAGCTCGAGAAGATTGGTAAAGGATCGTTTGGTGAAGTTTATAAAGGAATAGACAATGAATCAAAGGCTGTGGTAGCCATTAAAATAATCGATTTAGAGGAAGCAGAGGATGAGATAGAAGACATACAACAAGAAATCATGGTTCTTTCTCAGTGTGATTCACCTTATGTTACAAAATATTTCGGTTCATATCTCAAGGTATGTCATAAACTATGTTACAATCTCAAAATATTACTGTTCATATCTCAAGCTAGGTTACAAATTATTACATTTCGTATCTCAAGACAAAATATTCCTGTTCAAATCTCAAAGTACATTACAAAGTATTGCAGTTCATATCTCAAAGCATAATTACCAAATATTTGTTAAATCTAGCTATCTACCACTGTCTTCGTATCATTCTCCTCCCCACAGACATAGCATTTTGTAAAATACCACTGTCTAGGCAGCACTCTCCTCTCGCTGTCTAGGCAACACTCTCCTCTCGCTGTCTAGGCAACACCCTCCTCTCGCTGTCTAGGCAACACTCTCCTCTCGCTGTCTAGGTAACACTCTCTTCTCACTGTCTAGGCAACACTCTCCTTTCGCTGTCTAGGTAACACTCTCCTCTCACTGTCTAGGCAACACTCTCCTCTCACTGTCTAGGTATTACACTCCAGTGACCGCCCTAGACTATTAAAACCTTTAGCCAAATTTTTAGCCAAATCAAAATTTTATTAGCCAATTCAGAAAGTTTTAGCCAAATATTTTATATCATTTTTATTCATATGTTTGTTAATTAAAAATGAAAATAAATGTGTGTGTGTTAGTTGTATTTTACGTCCGCTTCCACCGAGGTGATATCGCAGACAAAATAAATGTTTAATATGTACTTATATAGTACACAAGAATATTATTTTATCTCCTTGTCCATGCAAAAGTTCACATTATTGAGAGAATGAATGCAGATAACAAAAAAATGTTTATAGGACGTTGTACACAGTCACATGATTTAATTTACTTCATCGTCATAACAGAAAAGACACAACGATTCTTTTTAAGACACCACTGATCAAATGCTCTGACAAATTTGAAATTTATGCTTTCCGGTCCATCCATTTTTATAAGCACGAGGTCATTGAGGGTTAGCTCGACGGTCTCTGTTAAAGGTCTAATTTTTGTCCACATGTTGATGAAGCCAACGATTACGAAGGACTCGCGTCCGAGATGACACGCTCACTCACGGAAGTAGATTCTGGACTAACAGTTATCGTAGGAAGGAAAAAGGAATCTATCCTTATTTTGGGTTTACTAGTATTAGTTGTCATTAATGTGCGTTTTATTTATTTGCTGCGTAAGTAAAGAAAACTTGTAGTGAAGCGAATGTAAACAACGCAGTGCCACACAAAAGGGGCATAACTGTGTTTTATAGTCTTGAGACTCGATCTTTCTGTCGTTTTAATGCGTAACATTGTAACATTGACTGATTTGCGACTTGTAAGATTGAGACTAGAGTAGTTAATGTACTAAAAATAGACACTCCATCGAGTCGATCGAAAGAAGCGTTTAACACGACGATTTCAAGTTTAAAATTAGCAGATTTGCGAAATAACACTCTCTAAAATTCATTCGCCAAATTTTTCGCCAGTATCATCACTTTATTCGCCAATAGAAATAATTGTCGCCATTGGCGAATGTCTAGGGCGGTCACTGACACTCTCCTCTCGCTGTCTAGGCAACACAATGAAAATTATCAAATAATAATGTACAGATGCATGCTCATAGCGCATACAGTTAATTTAATTTGATCAATCCTGATCAGTTTTTAGTAGCTTTATTCTGTTGACAATAATACCAGTAGGTAGGTACTGCATATCTTTACTGTATATATCTCATACCCAATTTCTCTTTCTCTCTCTAATCAATTAGCATACATGTCTGTAAACCAATAAAATTAAATGTTTTAGAATAATTTTATATTCATGGATTATTTTTCTAAATTGAACCCTTTGATGAATTGTACATGTTTGTATATTAGAATCTTGAGAAGAACTGATTGGTAGAATAGTACATGTACAAGGGTTAGGGTTAGTACAAGAACACGAGAATCTGAGTTGTACATCTATATTAAAAACTTTTGACAAAAAGAGCCAAAATATCTGTAACAAGGCTAAAAAGCTTGTATTATGAATAATAGTGTGATAAAATGTGTCAGATAAAACTGTCAGTTATAACTTATCTTGTTTTGTTATATTGTCATAACATCTATGACAACTAGATGTATTTTTTTACACGGAAAACTGTCACTCAACAGGCCAAATGTCACCAGACTAACTGTCATGATTTCATTGCAGGGCTTTTACTTCAAGTTTTATCTACTCAGGAAAATATTAAGATATCATGTTCACATGTATTTATATATTAAGAGTTTTTTTTAAAAAAGATGAAATTCTTTGACATTAATTTTGTGTCATGTAAATTGACTGATATGGAAATTCTTCCAGCAGTCAATTTTCCTGCCAGTCAGTCAAAACTGGCAATTTAGAACTGTATTAAGAAGCCTTGTTTGTATATTACAGGGATCTAAGTTATGGATTATCATGGAATATTTAGGAGGGGGATCAGCATTAGATCTGATGAAGGCGGGACCTTTTACAGAATCAGACATCGCTATTATTATACGAGAAATATTAAAGGGCCTTGATTATTTACATTCAGAGATGAAATTACACAGAGATATAAAAGGTATGTACACGTCCTTCAAGACGACATTTTATGTGGCAGAGCAAAACTGCACTTCTGTATATTCCAGTATGGTTCCCAGAGTATGTATGTCTCAGTGCACTTCTGTATATTCCAGTATGGTTCCCAGAGTATGTCTCATAAACTGTTTAAGATATCTTTAAGATGAAGAATCCTATTGATATTTAATGATTTCTGATATTTCCTGCCAGGCATAGCGTCCTTGATCATTTTGAAATTTTATGTCCTTGTAATTGTTTGCCTGGATAGCCAGTGGTTAATGTATGATAGCCAGCGATTAATGTCTGATGACCAGTGGTTAATGTATGATAGACTACGATTAATGTATGATAGCCAGTGGTTAATGTATGATAGACTGCGATTAATGTATGATTTGTGTTTTACAGCCGCAAATGTATTACTGTCGGAACAAGGTGATGTGAAGTTAGCAGATTTTGGTGTTGCTGGGCAACTAACTAGTACGACCAATAAACGACAGACGTTTGTTGGTACACCGTTCTGGATGGCACCAGAAGTTATAAAACAATCGGCGTATGATACAAAGGTTTGTATTTCTATTTCACGAGGGGGTTGGGTGGTCAAGTTGTTTTATTTTACCTATGATACAAAGGTTTGTATTTCTATTTCACGGGGGGGTTTGGTGGTCAAGTCGTTTTATTTTACCTACGATACATTGGTTTGTATTTCTATTTCACGAGGGGGTTGGGTGGTCGAGTTGTTTTATTTTACCTACGATACATTGGTTTGTATTTCTATTTAACGAGGGGGTTGGGTGGTCGAGTCGTTTTATTTTACCTACGATACATTGGTTTGTATTGTCATTTCTATCACTTATTACAAATGAAATGGGGTTTAACGTCTACTTTTCTCTACCTTCACCGGTGTTAAAATGGACAGTGTGCATGGTCGTTTGGAGGGTTGTTCAACAGAGCCGCTAACAAGCATAGTGTGTATGGTCGTTCGGAGGGTATGAAAAATTTGGTCCACTTGGGTACACATTGTAATGCAAGGGATGATGTATAGTTGTTAAAATGGGATGGAAAATCGAGGTCATTGGCGTGCACTTAAAGTAGCTAAGTCCGTAACTCAATATCATCCAAAATCTTCGACATTGAAAACACGATTTTTTTTGCAATTTAAATCAGCATTGGTGTTGTGATCTTACCTGGAAAAGATGGGCTTCTAATATCCAATATTTAAGACAAAAAAACCATTTTACCATTGGTACACGAATCGTGTACCATAATGCATTTCAGCGCCATTTGTAACAAGGTGCTCAAAGAATGAGGCTAGACATATTCCACAAATCATGTCAAACAGTGACATCATGTTCTTATTTGGAGAGCATGCACAATAAATAATATCGGTGTTGACTGGAGTAACCAGGCGCTAGAAACTGACTTGCGGTTGAGACTTCTGGCGTATTTCGCCGAACATAACTGATGACAATTCACAGTAAAACGGACACGATTGAATGTAAAACAGTTTATATAAATTCATATTACATTATTATATGTGTTGCGACCCATTTGTGCCAATTTCTAGGTCCAAAATATTAGCGATTTAGCTCCTTTAAATAAAACCCTGGCAGTTGCAAAATTTCCCATAAAGTACACTAAGTCTTTGTGGTACATGCCTGTGCTCAGTCAGAGCACAACAGTAGGACATTAAACCCCATTTCATTTTAAGACAACAGCTGAAATTCCCTAGACCAGAGTGTCGTATGCCCTAATCAATGGGTACAAAATTAGAACAACAGCCATTCAAGGAATACAACTTTCTATTTATTGGAACAACAGCCATCAAAGGAATACAGCTTTAAATTGTTTAATTTCTATTTTTAGGCTGATATATGGAGTCTGGGTATTACAGCTATAGAATTAGCAAAAGGGGAACCCCCGAATTCCGAACTTCATCCAATGCGAGTTCTCTTTCTCATTCCAAAAAACAATCCGCCTCAGTTAATGGGCAATTATTCCAGAGCCTTTAAAGAATTTGTAGATACTTGTTTAAATAAAGATCCTAATAACGTAAGTACTCATTTATTTCAATCTTTTACCTGTTAGGCTTAGAGTATTCCAGTACAGTGCACCCAGGCTCTAGAGCATTCCAGTACAGTGCACCATGGCTCTAGAGCATTCCAGTACATTGCACCTATTTTGTGGAATTTGTTAACCAATCATGTAAAAACAGCTTCATCACTTGAATCATTTAAAAGAAAACCGCATTTGTTCATTATAACTAAAGTGGATCGAGATAATTGTCTAGATAGGGACCATAATGTACATATAGTATGTGTCTGGAGCAGTGATTCTCAACCAGTGTGTCGCGAGATCGTCCTAAGAGTGCCTAGAAATTTTGAACGACACACTAAGAAAATTGACTGATGAAATTCGAAACACTGCAATAACGTATGTTTATAGTATTTGTGGATTGATTGGTGATTTACAAATATCAGCCATTAATCGTACTAATTGTTGAATATAATACATCTCCCTCAATTCCATTCCTTCAATGGCCAAGTAGGACATGAACCCCAGTCGTTGTTGTTTATATTTTAGAGGAGAGCCGAATAACGCTCCCCTTAATCAACAAATTGAAAAAATCGTTCCCCTAAAAAGCTCTCCCAGTTTCAATAAGAAGAGTGAATTAGAAATTAAGGAGAGTGATTAGTTTTATGTATGGTAAATGGTTCTGAAGGATGGGGGGGGAGCATTCCTGGTTACATAAATGAAAATAAACATATCTACTAAATAATAACACTCGTTCAGTCAAACTTTTGCTATCGTCTAAAACTACTTACGGTATTCCAATACAAATACTTATCACATTTCTAGATATATATAGCATGTATAAATTTTGTATAAAAAACATAAACCCCATTCAAAATATAATCACAAACGCTAGAAAATTCCATCAAAATAGAATCTTTCTACCTACATTATTCTCATTGGAAATTTTGAGTGTCATCTCTCATAATGTGTCACTTTAGTTTTCAGTTAAATTAACCAATCATACATAGACCCTATCTATTTTTATTAACATCATCTGTGTATATAGTCTAGTATTTATCGGATATATTGAAAATTCAAACCATGCTTCTTTTGGTGTTGTTATATATCAATCAAATTGTTTTACAGTGATTAAACCATTATATTTCTTGTTGTTTGTTTTATTTCAGCGCCCTGGTGCTAAAGAATTATTACGCCATCGTTTTGTACAGAGAGCCAAAAAGACGTCATACCTTGTTGATTTAATAGATAAATATAAAAACTGGAAAACAGAACGTGGACATGCTAGTGATAGTGATGATTCTGATGAGTAAGTTTCTTGTTACACTTGACTACAGGAATAACATCCAGACATTTGGATAGGATGAACAATCCTGTGTACATGTTGGAAAATGAAAAACGATAAGACTGTAACACAGCTATCTGACAGAATTTCCCTCATAGCACACTGTATGTGGTAATCTTGTCGTCATTCCCCTCATAGCACACTGTATGTGGTAATCTTGTCGTCATTCCCCTCATAGCACACTGTATGGTAATCCTGTCTCCATTAACCCGTTTGGTGCGGACATTAAACTCCAAAAATAATAGTGATGATATTAATGTATTGTCTTGTTCTGTATTGTCTGTTCAAAATTCGTTTGTGGACACTCTACAGGTCACAATTTATATATCAGATTTTGACGAACCTTGAAATATAGGTTTATATCCCACAGATCTCGGTTTGTTTTGATATTGGCATTTATCAAACTGTAACATCCTGGATTATGGCCCCTGATTGTATGAAAAATCGCTTTTTAGCTTGTGCTATGTCCATCTCTTGCACAATGTGGGCGTATCTTGCATGGCAACCGCATGTTGCTAGTGGTAATGTTGTTTTTCCTTGTTGCTATTGACGATAACAGTCTTGTTGCTAGTTGAAATGTTGCTTTCTCTTGTTTATAGTGATGATAATAATGTTGTTTATAGTGATGATAATAATGTTGTTTTGTCTTGTTTATAGTGATGATAATAATGTTGTTTATAGTGATGATAATAATGTTGTTTATAGTGATGATAATAATGTTGTTTTGTCTTGTTTATAGTGATGATAATAGTGAAGAAGAAACGTTACAAGAAGAATGGAATAACACAGTGAGAGAAGCAGGCAATGGTTTACAGAATATTATACTTAATGGTGGTGGTTATCATGAGGTATAGTATATGTTATAATATTCTCCTAACTCTATTAACAACAACAATACTATCATCCATTCTTTATAATCTTCACTTTTCTCTCATTTTCCCAATTCTTGAAGTGTAAATCTATGAAAGTTCACGGCAACTACAGGCCAGCGGGAAGATGGTGACTGTAGGGTGTAGATTATGGTCAGAGAACATCATATGGTCTAAACCATTGTCTATATGATATGGTGGCGGCCATGTCGGTAGAAACATCTGCTATGCTTTCTGCTATTTTTTTCTTTGATGATGAGGAAATGATTTTAATGAAATTTACCAGCGTGTTTTCGTTGCATGTATTTTATGATATTTTCAGTCAAATTTTGTTATGGTTAAATCTTGGAACGTAACAATTCGATTGTTCGGCTAGTTGCGACTGTAGCCCAAAATAAATGCCATTTCAACCCGAGTATGGAAATCAGGCAACCAAAGGTCCTCTGGTGGCAGTTATATGCTATAAAACATTCATTTGCCCTTGTCGTGATTCGTAATTTGGAGCCAAGACACCATACTTCAGATGTTAAATATTATCGTATTTTAGAAACGTATTATCGCCACTGCTCCTCCGCCTCCAATAATTCAAAATCAACAACAGCCATATCATCAACAACCACCACCACCACCACCACCACAACAATATGAACCACCAGCGCCACCTCCTCTAATTGAGGAAGAGGTATCAAAGTTATCTCCCTTCATACATCAGCTGTATAAATTAGTCACTATTTGTCATATCTCATACAAACCATCTTTCTAATCGATATATACATTTTGGTCAGATTATCACTACAGAAATATTATTTACAATTTAGTGTCTGGTTGTTTAATAAATAAGATTAATATTTTATTTATGGAATTTCAATTTCTGGTGACTAATGACTTATTATTACATGTAGGTGGATCATGGTGGTCAGAATTTTATCAAACTTCCACATTATTCCTGAGTACATTTCTGAGTGGGGCTAGCAAATATTTGAAATAAAATTAAACCATATGTTAGTCCCGAAATGACCTAGTTTGTGTTGAGTGGACATTAAACCCAATTTCTCTCTCCCTCTCCAAAAAAGAAAACAAAATTGTCCACATTGTCTAGTTACGAATAATTTAGGATACCAGAAAATGGTTTTAATTAATTTTTTCTGCCTAGCCTCGATCATCATTATTAAAGTCAGTACAATAAACAGCGTAGTCTCGATTATCCATTCAATCATTCAATCGTGAAGGAAAGTTATGCAGTAAATAGGCTCACAATCCACTAAAGATCGCAGGCTAGCGATGCCATCGAGAGTTTATTATGGTCTGGATAAGTTAATTAATGTCTAATTAATAATTTAGATAACATTTCAGGCCTAAAGAAAGACATGCAATAGACAGATTTAGCTCTTGCATAAAGTATGTTTAAAGATATTGATTAATCTGACCAAAATATCTGTAAATTGTATTATAAAGATGGATGTAACGCAAAATGCCTAACAATATATTTGTTGCGTTATTAATTTAATTTAAACCAATCAGCTTTGTTTATTTATTTTTTTCCTACATGCAATGTTGAATTAGTTGCGTTTTATGTTGATCACGCTACACATCTCATTGTAATCACCCATCGTTTATATCACAGCTACTGTAATGTTGCACTGTCATTCAAAATCTTCTTGGTTGGAATTCAAGTGAGGCCGAGTAGAACTGTGGTGGTAAAGAATGTGACGAGAAACGAATGTCAACCTAAATACACATTGTTGTACACCTAAAATAGACATTGTCTGTTTTTCAAGTAGCAGAAATTTTACTTCCTGACTGTATTTAGTCTATTCCTTCCATATCCAAAATAACATTTCTCACATTCAAGCCATTTATTGAAATGGATCTATATCAAGAAAAAGAAATCACAAAAAAACAATTACAAACATACAAGCTCTCAGTCTCCATTACATGTACTTTATCTTTTTATTTCTTGGTAAAAAAAAATAGAATTTAAAAACAGAAAATACGAAACCAAATTGTAAAATATTATGACTAGAACAATACATATATGTACCTTTTAGAGATACTGTGCAGAGTTGTAGGGGAGAAGGGTTGGGGCGATTACAATTGTAGGGGAGACGGGCTGGGCGGAGAAGGGCTAGGCTGGGGGATGAGAATTGGAACCGAGAAGGGCTGGGCTGGGGGATGAGAATTGTAAGAGGGAGGATCTAGGATGAATATTATAATGATTTATTGAATTATTTATATTTTAGTCTTAATATTTTTCCCTACTCTCAATCACCAGTAAGCTTGAATATTGCTTGGCTTTATATTTTTAAATTAGATTCATGTTAATTACTGATAAACTCCAATTATTCAATTATTCAATTATTTATTGCTTTTTCTTAAGTAAACTGTAAGACTTAGATGATAGTTTTAGATGATAGTAGTAGTTTTATGGATAGAATCCTACAGCAATATATAGAGTTGAACATTATAAACTTTATTCTATTTGCTTGCCCTCGTCACTTTTGATAAATCATCAATTTACCGGTAAACATAGGAGATAACTGAGTAATATGCCTTTAATTTATCGGTTGTCACTGATCTAGAAATAGGCCTACAAGAGAAACTTGTTAGCTATGTGAACTACCCAGATGAGAAGTGGTACTTTGACTCTTGACCTTTTCTTGACTTGGATTATGTAACGGTGGACTATAGAACCCCTTACATAGAGTATAGAATACAATCCCATGTTAGTTATAATATATATGATACAGCACATTCTATATATAACAAACATACCTGTGGTTTATTGTATTCTGTGTATCAGGAGATGATAAAGGGGATGATTTGTCATAACGATACAAAAGGGGCTTACCTAATATCAAGTCATCTGTCATATACAGCTGTGCCTCTTAGCCATTGTTGGTTTTTTTCAGTTTTTATTTAGTTTGAGCAGTATTTGTTAATTATGTCATCTGTGATTTCTATTTTTTCACATGTAATTAAAACATCATTATACGTATTATATTATTCAATGTTTCAAAACATATTTCTAGTCAATCTGATAGTGGTGACATAGAATTACTGTTTTAATATTCAAATATTCTAATCCATTATTATCATTCAATTTACTTCAAATTCTCTTTTTAATGCTTGTTAGATACAGTATCTAGAAATTCTGAATATATGTTTATTTTTTAAATATTAGTTGATTTTATTGGATTGAATATTCTTAGATATTTCCTAGTAGAGTCAAAGAAACTGATCGATGGAACCAAAGAAATTGATCAAATTGACATTGAATAACAAATACTCGAAATCTATTTGAATTTAAATTTCTGTGTCAGCCCTATCAATGAGTATTCATTTGGAACCTTGTGTATCAGATGTATGTTAGCTTTCTTTGTTTCATATAAATATCAGCATTATTATTATACTATGTTGACCTACATGTATTATACCATGTTGACCTACATGTATTATACCATGTTGACCTACATGTATTATACTATGTTGACCTACATGTATTATACCATGTTGACCTACATGTATTATACCATGTTGACCTACATGTATTATACCATGTTGACCTACATGTATTATACTATGTTGACCTACATGTATTATACCATGTTGACCTACATGTATTATACCATGTTGACCTACATGTATTATACCATGTTGACCTACATGTTATTATGCACAATTTACAGAGGTATATCACTTTCAAGTGAAAATGTTGCAATTCCAGAAATATTTGTGTTTTTCGCGTATACCATATAGTTAATGTTGAACACAATACTGTTTTTGTTGCTATACTTGTTTTGTTTTGTTTTGTTTTATGCTTCAGCAGATAAAAATTAATATTTTTTTATCAGCAAATGTTTTTCAGCTTGTCATTTTGATAAACATGATGAAATAATAAATAATTGAAAGCTTAAAGAAGAGAAAGAACTCGATTATTTATGTCTATTTAAGGAATAGTTCAAATGATCACATTTTCTATATCGTTAATTAAAAACCTATATTTCAAGTTCTGAATGTAATAGATTTGATGAAAATTTTATCAAATTGCTGTGATCTTCATGATTTATTATATAATTAACATTTAAATTTAATTGACGATAATTATTTCCAGAAATCCAGAAACCGAAATTTTTTCTCTTCTGAACCTTCTCCGCCACAACACCCTGTTAATAATCATACCACTAATCCTTATCCAGGTTTTGTAAGTTGATCAACAAATTTATTTAATTTAGTTTTTAAAACATATTCATATATAGAATTAGTTAACTTATATTTCGGGGCCTAATTATCCTCTCTGATTAAAGGAGCTTTCCCAGAAATATCTTAGTGAAAACTGATTAACCCGCAATAGATTTAGTGAATAACGGAGCTTGTCACTCGTAAACTTATATATAGACCAGACTTATGTGTGTGGCGTGAGTACACATAATTACTCGGCAGAACAAATTGTACGTATGACGTGAGTACACGTAATTAATTACTCGGCAAAACAAATTGGGTGATTGGTTGAAGGTCTGGGATAGTTCCTTTATGTATTATCAAAGTCTCCCCATCAAGTTACTTTTTTTTAGTTTATAAATTATGGTATATGGTTACCTTGGTTACTGGGTATAGCAACAATCTTGATATATAATAGTTGTAATGTTAACATGTGTCTAATATAGAAGAAGGGAACTGGTTAATTATTTACAATCTTCATATTATTATATAAATAAAAACAATGCTTATCTCCCTTGGTAGGATTGAGACCACTGTTTGAATCATACAGTTGTAACATTACAAATTAAAAACTTTTAAATTAATTCTATTTATTGTGTTTTTAAGGATAAGTGCTTTGAAATTCTAATTTTATTCTGTGTAAATTCTAGGGTTATTCCGTGTAAATTCTAGGTTTATTCTGTGTGAATTCCAAGTTTATTCTGTGTAAATTGACTGACAATTACCTGTAGTCAAGGTATCTGTAGTCAAGGTATCTGTAGTCAAGGTATCTGGATAAGCATTGTTATTATGAAGATGTTTTTATATATGAAGATATATATTGTAATGCATGTTATAGGATACAGTTAGTTATATATATATATATATAATTGTTATCAATATATTCTTCTGTAAGGCTGACCTAGTCAGTGATATTTATCTTTGAATATACAGGCCTGAAAATAAGTCACATGCAACTGATTCAAACTTACATCTTATATTAAAAATTTCTAAAATTTTAATTTTCATCACTGACATTTATTTTAGAAGTATCAGACAGCTGACAATTTTTCAAGTGTATCACTGCCTAAATTCAGGTGTATCACTACGTTAATTCAGGTGTATCACTACGTTAATTCAGGTGTATCACTACGTAAATTCGTTATTTGCAGACATAATTTTTATAATATATTATTTTGAAGATATTTGGTTATGCCCTTTTGTTTGAGCCATACAGTTTGGAAATTAAAATTCTCTGCATGCTGCTAATTTATAAATTTGACTAGCTGACTGTATTTCTTACGAAAAATTAGTTGCCTCTTCCAGACATGACCAAGAAGGTGGCTCATGTGTTATACCGCTTGTACACTAATCACAAGGTCCTAGGTTCGATACAAAATTACCTTTGGATTCTCCCATCTTGTTTTCGCCTTGTCAGCAGTGCAGCACAGAAGGCCTGGCAAGGAGTAGGATTCTAGTTTCACCCTTGTCACTGGTGCAGCACAGAAGGCCTGGCAAGGAGTAGGATTCTAGTTTCACCCTTGTCAGCAGTGCAGCACGGAGGGCCTGGCATTAGTGGTGCAGCACGGAGGGCCTGGCATCAGTAGTGCAGCACGAAGGAGTAGGTTTCTGGTTTCAACCTTGTCAGTGGTGCAGCTGGGAGGGCCTGGCAAGGAGTAGGTTTCTAGTTGTTTACAGGCCCACTTGTGTACTCATTGCCATGCATGTAAAATTAACATTGACTGTTTGAATCCAATCACTAGAAGTTAGAAACACTCATTGGCCCGGTTGATGTGGGAGAAGTAAATTTAGACAAACTTTGATTGCCAAAACTTGTGGTTCAAACAAACTGTAGGCATTTGTTAGAATCTTGTAACTTGTAATGGTGAATGGTATTTATTATTTCATTGTAATGATTTATACACTAGGTTTAAAATACCCTCAATACTTGGTTTAAAATGCCACCTACTGTACACTAGGTGTAAAATGCCCTCTATACCAGATCTGAAATGCCCTCTATACAATGTGTAAAATGCCCTCTATGCAAGGTGTAAAATGCCCTCTATGCAAGGTGTAAAATGCCCACTAACAATGTGTAAAATGCCCTCTATACAATGTGTAAAATGCCCACTATACAAGATCTGAAATGCCCACTATACAATGTGTAAAATGCTTAAATAGAACAACACTTTTCCAAAATATGAACCCATGACCGTTTGTGTTTCCTATCCATCTAATCTAAAATAATCCTGCCATGCAACTCTCTCAGGCATCAAATCCTGTCATCCAACTCTCTCAGATATGAAATGATTGAAGGCTAGTAAAATAGTGTTAACCATTGCATGATTTAATAATAAGAAGATTTCTTAGTTGCATGATCTTCAGTTCTAATATTGGTCACATTATCACAGAATTACCTATGCACCTGTATCTTTGAAATACCAGTATTATATTTTTATTTTACAGATATTTTAAATACCAGTATTATATTTATATTTCACAGATATTTTAAAATGTATTGTTAACAATATTTATTATGATGATAGAAATCCATCTTCTTTTGGCCATGGTGCTTTGACTTCTTGTTGCCTCGACTCTGGGTGCCTTGACTTCTTGTTGCCTCGACTCTGGGTGCGCTGGGATGCCGTGACTTCTTGTTGACAGAATGATAGCAAAAACATTCTTTTGTTCCCAATGATTTCTGTAAGGCATTTAGGTTTCTCCGAAAAGAATGAATTGAAAACTGTACTCTACGAATACTAGGCATTTTCTAAATTAAAAATTTGTTTGTCATCGAACAAATTGATTTAGTACCCCACCAGAACTGTGAGACATAATTTATGTTTATTTATTTCATTGTTTTTGTTTTTTGCATGTGCATTGCATGAAGCATGCATTGATTGTTTTATATTTATACTACAGCATGTAAATCAACATCCAGCTCCCGTTAAACCCCAACCACAAGGTGTTTATCATGGTAGAAGTGGCTCCGCACCTGAACAGTTTGATCCACGGAATGACATGCCACCTGTAAGTTGCTTCCCTTTACCTCCCTTTAGAATCAGGTTCTCTTTGACTATAGTACAAGCCCATTGGCCCTTGTCAATCAGGCTCTCTTTGACTATAGCACAAGCCCATTGGCTCTTGTCAAGGGTACCTTTAGAATCAGGCTTTCTTTGACTATAGTACAAGCCCATTGGCTCTTGTCAAGCGTACCTTTAGACTCAGGCTTTCTTTGACTATAGTACAAGCCCATTGGCTCTTGTCAAGCGTACCTTTAGAATCAGGCTCTCTTTGACTATAGCACAAGCCCATTGGCTCTTGTCAAGCGTACCTTTAGAATCAGGCTTTCTTTGACTATAGTACAAGCCCATTGGCCCTTGTCAATCTGGCTCTCTTTGACTATAGTACAAGCCCATTGGCTCTTGTCAAGCGTTTTCGTTGAATTTTAATCAGAAATTTTAAATAACAAAGATACTGCGATTACCACATCACATAACAGCTGAAATCATGTGTGTAATTGTATTTAAAAAAAAAAATTTGAATTCAAAGGAATATTCACTTGGACGTATTTGTCCAGAGTCAGATAAGTGACTACTATCAATTTAATTAATTCAAATGGTTTCTGCAGTATAACGGAAACTGTTAGACCTTTAGAAAATACATTTACCATATTCCATAAAATTAAATTCTCTTTTGTTTTTCATGCCTCAAAGAGAACTTGTTTTTAAATATTGCTGTGGAATGTTTTAGTTCGGCTTTTTACCTGAAATAACTGTTTGTTCTACTTCTCCTTTGCTTAATTCTATTTTTATCATTTGCAATATTATAAAATGAATAAACTTTCTGAACAAGAAGAAAGGAAAATATACCAAAAAAAAAACCTTTTCTCATTAAAATGAGAAATTTCAAATGTCTGGTTGCACAGTAATTCAGGATACTCATGAATAATGTCTTGACAACATCATCTCGTTTGACAACTCTAACCAATAGAATTAAAGATCCAATGACTTATCTCCCCTGAATTTCGTATTTTAGCCTAAACATCTTCGCAGTCATTCAGATTTAGCTCCGCCAATGAAACAACCTGAACCACCAAGTTCACGTGTAAGTTGAAATTCAACCTATATTTATCTCAAATATATTCTCCTATTTACCATAAATATCCCATTTCAATCATAATAAATCGATCAATCAACTTGTTTAAAATCCTCTATTTTCCTTTTAAATTTTTCTGTGTATGGCACTGCTCAGGTAGAATGTAGTACCGGTAGTTATATCTTGTAGCGTTTCAGCTCGTCACCCATCTCAGGTAGATTGTAGTATCGGTAGTTATATCTTGTCTTGTAGCGTTTCAGCTCGTCACCCATCTCGGGTAGAATGTAGTACCGGTAGTTATATCTTGTCTTGTAGCGTTTCAGCTCGTCACCCATCTCAGGTAGAATGTAGTACCGGTAGTTAAATCTTGTAGCGTTTCAGCTCGTCACCCATCTCATGTCTTTTTTATGTATAGCACCTGTTTGTTGTTTGTTGAACATTTGCACAAAGGTCAAGGTCATGCAAAATGCATCCTATTTCTGAAACTTTTTATGGGCGAGACACCATAGGATGACATCATTTCTCATTTATTTCTCAACTTTTAAAATGTAGTTTGAAAAATTTAAAAAAAAAAAAATGAAACTGACAATTTAATAATAAAGTTCACTTGATTGAAATTTTATAAAAAAAAACCTAACAATATTTAATATTATTTTATGTTTATTCAAAACTGTTTTGATGTAAAATTGCAGCATGTGAATCATCCTGTTTTTATTCCCAACCTTTGGCTGTCATTCTAAATGAAAATTTCAAAGTTTTGTGAAGTGATGCCACACTACTCTTTCAATGGTTTTTATTTTTTCTTTGCATGGGTTGTTGTTTTCTCTTAATTTTTCATTTTTTTGATATCAGCCTTACATTTCTCGACCTAAATCGCAGCCTGATCTTCAGAATCCGCGCAGCAGTTATAACGAGCATCACTATCAATCACATCCAGGTTTTATCACCACTAGTAGCGTAAGTTGCCATGGTTACTGACCCACGCTAATATATAAGGGTCTGAGCGCTATTATAATTCTAATATATTGGGTATCTATATCTGTTCTAACACATTGGGTCTGGCTTTCATATTTATCTGGTGTATAACACAACTTGGGTATCATTTAGTTGTGATGTTTTAGCAGGATTTTCTGTATATTTAATATTTAGTCTATTAATTAATTACTCAACATCGCTAGTGAAGTAAACAGTTATAAACCCAACACCCAGTTTAAACTATGCAACAGTAGGAGGAACCCAATAATTTTTTGGTGATCCTCAAAGAATTTGAAGAATTTGCCAATAATGACTTTGAAAGTAAACGTTCAATACAGAAACGGCTGCTAAAACAACACAATCATAAAGTTATATAAATATATATATATATATATATATATATATATATATATCTATATGGGAAATTATAAACATGTATACTTCTATTTTTATTTATTTACATTTAAAAACACCCACAAAAAGTGAATGATCAAGTAGCATTTTGAATCATTTTCATATAAAAATGATTAGCATTAAATTAGACGAGTCTGGTGTATTGACGGGTTGTATTTTTGGGGTGTGTGTATATTTTTTTAAGGTTTTAAAATGTGAGGGATTTTTTTCGTCATTGTGTCAATAATAATCATCTTATATCCAATCATCACCTGTATTATCACCTGTATCCATTGATCTGTTAATCTATATAATATCATCACCTGTATCCTTCAGTCTTGCGCAAGTTTTACAGGTCTCCACACTGCTGTTTGACGTCTGATGGCATTAATTGTTCAGTGGGTCATAAGGAAGAATTAATTGAAATTTGGAGATGTTAAAATTAAAAATATTTCAATCAGAAACATTTTTGAACACCTTTTCGAACTCAATATAAATCTAGCAAGTTTATTACTTGAGACAAGTTTCACTTTAGAACTAAACATTATAATGTGCAAATTGTGTTAATAATAACGGCTCAATTACTAATATATTTTCTGGCGTGGTTTCCTTTTGTCAGTGGTGCAGAACGGATGTCTAGTGAGGGATGGAAAACCGAGGACCCATGACAGTTGAAATTCAATATAAGAGTAGGCCATAGCGCCACTGTCAGGGCAAAATTTCCCTCATAGCACACTGTATGGCATATACCCATCTTCATTAGCCCAGTAGGAACAGTATGCCACAACACATTAGGAGTGAGCAGACGGATGAAGTCATTGCATGTTCATGCATTATATTTTTAAAATAATGTTTCAATTGCGCCTTATTTTGCAAGTAAATTGAGAAATCTTGATATCTGGACCTTCATACTGTGTAGATGACGAATGTAATATATACATTGTACATGTACCTGTTGAGTGTCAACCAATCAAAGTGGTTGGTGCCATCTTATTATACTATATTCTATGTGGTTGGTGCCATCTTATTATACTATATTATATGTGGTTGGTGCCATCTTATTATACTATATTATATGTGGTTGGTGCCATCTTATTATACTATATTCTATGTGGTTGGTGCCATCTTATTATACTATATTATATGTGGTTGGTGCCATCTTATTATACTATATTATATGTGGTTGGTGCCATCTTATTATACTATATTCTATGTGGTTGGTGCCATCTTATTATACTATATTATATGTGGTTGGTGCCATCTTATTATACTATATTATATGTGGTGATTGGTTAACTACTCTTGACTTAACGAAATTTAAACACTTCAGTTTTCTGCATTTACATCCTGCTTTTTAGTGTAAAAACACAGAATTCCATGAAAGTTTGGTCACATTTTAATATACTTTATTCCACTTACTGAGGGGGGGGAGGGTTGCTCGTTTACAGCAGATCTGGGGTTTATTAGGATTATTTGGTGTGGTTTCAATTTGTCAGTGGTATATAATACCATGTTACAGCTGACTATAATATACAATACTATGTTACAGCTGACTACAATATGTTACAGCTAACTAACTACAATATATAATACCATGTTACAGCTAACTACAATATTTAATACTATGTTACAGCTGACTACAATATATAATACTATGTCTAGCTACAATATATAATACTATGTTACAGCTGACTACAATATATAATACTATGTTACAGCTAACTACACTATATAATACTATGTTACAGCTAACTACACTATATAATACTATGTTACAACTAACTATAATATATAATACCATGTTACAGCTGACCACTATATATAATACCATGTTACAGACAGCTAACTACAATATATAATACTATGTTACAGCTAACTACAATATATAGCTTACTACATCTTTAGGTGTAATAAACACAGTTGGACATTCAAAACATACACCATCAGTGGAGTTGAAGGCATTGCCAATATTTTTAGAGGAAAGGGAATATTTTATTGTGTATTTATTCACTTTTATAACAGTTGGACGCAGTGGTATATTAAACCTTTTATAACAGTAGGACCTAGTATATATATATATGTGTGTGTATTCTATATAGAACCAATATAGATGTAGAAAGGATGAAGTTTTGTGTAAATCAACCTGTCGATAATATCATGTAATAAACAACAACAATAATAATCTTGGAGTGTTATAATGTTCAGATTGATTGCCGTTGATTAAATTGGTTGTATGATATATTTCAGCATGACAAACGACAAGCACCAGCCCCACCTCGACCAGAACATAACGGAGAACGTCCAATGGTATCAGCCAGTCTTTCTACTGCTATTTTACCTATTTTATCACAGGTAAGTGTTTAGATAGATAAATTGTGCAACACCAGATAAGGGTGACCAGGCCACATGTTTCTCTCTCTTGGGTTGGCCAAGAATGGTCCCCTGGATTTTTTGGTATGGTCCCCCCCCCCTGCTGTTAATGGTGCAGGATGGGGAGAGCCTTGCAAAAAACAGCATCGAGTCATTTGTATAGGACCAAAAAAAAAAACGAGAACCCATTTACACATTGAAGTGCCCCCAAAAGAATCCATGATAGTTTCAATTTGAGTAGTCTGTAGTGCTGCTGTCTGAGCAAAAGTTTTCTCACAGCACACTGCATGGTGTATGCTTGTCTCACAGCACACTACATGGTGTATGCCTGTCTCACAGCACACTACATGGTGTATGCCTGTCTCACAGCACACTGCATGGTGTATGCCTGTCTCACAGCACACTACATGGTGTATGCCTGTCTCACAGCACACTACATGGTGTATGCCTGTCTCACAGCACACTACATGGGGTATGCTTGTTGTCATTTGCCCAATCGATTATGATTTATAAAGTTACGATTTATATTTTTCAGTTAAAGGTTGATTATAGGGAGGATTACAGTAGACTTGGACGTCCAGTGCAAAAAACAGAGGCAATTGATGAGTTACGGAATGCTTTTGATTTAGCTGAGAAGTCTTGTCCTGGTCTAGCAGATGATCTTGTATCTGGGATATTAGCACGATTAACAGAAGAAAGCGACATGAGGGAGGGTGAAGTACGAAGGGCGATAGACAGAACAAAACGATGATCCAGGTATTGATTACAGTCTTGGTGGATGGCCGAATGGTTAGTGTGTGCACGTTGTATCATAAGATCTGTTATTGAGTCAACTTGCGTGGCTTCTATTCCCCGGTTGTACGTGACGAGGAGGAAGGTCACCTGTCCAAACTTGTGGGTTTTCTCCGGGTCCTCCTGGGGGGGGGGGGGGTTGAATGGTTAGCACATGCGCTCTGCTCTGTATTATACGGTCTGTCAATGAGTCAACTGGCGGGGTTTCGATTCCCCAGTTGTACGTGACAAGGAGTAGGGTTACCTGTCCAACCTCGTGGGTTTTCTCCGGGTCCTCCGGTTTCCTCCCACTGCTAAAGACCCTTACGCGCAAGCGAATTATTGAAATAAAATTGAAACCATGTGTTAGTCCTGAAATGACCTAGTTTGTGTTGAGTAGGCATTAAACCCCATTTCTCTCTCTCACATTCTTATTTGGGTGGTTTGGTGACAGAATGGATTAACAAATCATAAGGTCTGTCATTGAGTCAACTGTCAAATACTTGTGCCTGTTGCCTTTAACAATAAGTTAGTCCCGAAATCACCTAGTTTGTGTTTATTGGACGGATGTTAAACCCTATTTCTATCTCTTGCTTTCAGATGAAGTTTGAAGTAGATGTTTGTTTGTCTTAGATTACGACAGGAAGACGATGAACCTGATGTAAATCAACCAATCAGCACCAAGAATCATCTCATTTCATCAGATAACACGAGGATAACGACATCTCATGGATAATTAATATAGATAAATATATCTTTAATTTTTCTACACAATTAAATCAACAAGGGGGATAATTTCACCCTTTTCAATCATCATCATCCATTCATCCAATTATAGTCATCGTTAATTATCACTATAGCAACCTGGATATTCCAAATATAGACATTTTCTTTCCGATGCGTGGGATAACTTAATTTACTCAACTAACGTAACTGTGTGTTTGATTGACTAATATAAAACGCTGTTTATTGCATTTCATAGATTTGTCTTCACATATTTTATAGGGTTCAATTAATCCAGATTTCTTGATAGCATTTATTGTCTATTTATGGGTGGTGGGTCACAGATTGACTATGACAACAGAAAAATATTATAAACTATGAAGAAACCTTTTTCAGAAAGGTGGTAGATATAGTTCAATCCTTCCCCCTTAGCTCTATAGACACTCAGCTTGAGTCGTGGGTTGACATCAACCAGGTGGCGTTGGTTGTACTACTACCACTTCCTACGGTCAATCAAATCGATGTTTATTTTAATATCTCTTCTGCTGTAGTTTAATCAGAGAAACTTTTCAAATTATTTGTTTTATAATTTATTGAAATTTGGTTTTGTTATAAAATAAATATGGGTGATTTAATTCAGTATTATTGTTATTTCGTATCTCAGAATATAATGAAAAAAATCTAGACTTCATGTTTGCTATCTTAAAAAAACTCTGTTATTAAAAACTTGTTTGGATTAAAGGGGCTATTTTACGATTTCATAAGACACTGTAAAAACCAAAGTGTGTTTAAGTCTGCAAATCAAACATCTTTACCTTGTCTGGAAGTTACAAATAAAAATATATAGACAAGATTATCCAGCCTGATATATTGCTAAATGAAAATCAAAAAATATCTTGATACTGATCATCCCCAAACAAATCATAGAATGATTAAAATTAAATGAAAAATTTACAAAGGGGAGGTAATTCATGTCTATACTGATTATATCATTCAACGAAAATCACAAAATCAATGGAAATAATTAAACAAAGGGAAGATAATTCATATTTAGATCAAAACAATGAAGCATAAAAACTGCATTTGATAAATTATTAATATTGGAATAATACAATGAGTATTTAGATGGATCTGATTCTGACTAGGAAATAAGTTAAATTATTACCATGGTTATTTTGTATAAATTGTGTATTTATTGATTATTGAAGAATACGACTGATGATTTAAAACATATCACTTGGTTCACACAGTTTATAAATTAACATCTGAACATGTTGCTATCTCTGTATTACTACAAGTTGGATGAATCATTGGCAGTATGAATGATATCATAAATCAGACTCTGATTGACAGTCTAGATCAATGGATGGGGCATTAGGCAGGCAATGCATGATCACAGACAAGGTGCACTAGGCAGGCAATGCATGATCGCAGGTGCACTTGCAAGAAGTCATCTGATTTGTAGCAAAAGAAACCCAACATGAGAAGTTTTCTTATAAACTAATTTGTAAATATTTAACATTTATATTAAGACATAGTTGTACATAATATATATAAATAAATAAATAAATAATATATCTTTATAAAGAAAATAAACCAACCACAATCTGACGATAAATGTACCTATGAATAATAAAAACAACCGAACACAGTTTTCTAGGAGTTAGGAGCCATCTTCACCTGCTTAGCTTCGTGTTAACTAAATGTTATTAATTACGTATTTCATGACCCCACAGGGTGACCTTACTCACCCTGTTAGCCTGGGTTATGATTTCAAGAATTGTGTTAATCAGTTATTTGACATGAAGATAAAATTAATATGACATTAAACAATCATTACATTTCATTTATTAGGCTGCATTTTTTTTTTTTTATTAGAAATTTGTGTTCGGTGGTGAATTTTGCATATAAGAGATTGTAATGCTAAATTCATTGTCATGGTATTCTTGTAGCTATGGTAACTTCGTTGTCATGGTATCTTCGTGATGAGGGTATCTTTATGGTATCTTCATAGCAATGGTATCTTTGTTGTCATGGTATCTTCATACTAGAGTGATGGTATCTTTATAACTATGGTATCTTTGTTGTCATGGTTACCTTTGTAGCACGGGATCATTGACCCGTGATACATTTTGTATTTAAAGATGCTGATTTTACGGGGAAACAATTTTGTGATAGGGTTAGGGTTGGGTAAAAAATCAAAAATTATATGTGAAATATATAGTTGAGATTCTTGCCGTTGAAAGAGGAATTGGTACCCATCCTATAAATAACTCTCATTATTAAAAAAATGTCCATGGAAATAGTTGCTTCCCTTTAATACACAAAATCTAGGGGACACTCGAATGTCAGTTCGAAACGTTCCAAATTGACAGAATTTCAATCGTATGACGTGGAATTCAGTTCTGATAGTCCAGATGACGGAGGTAGTGTGAGGTTGTTTCGGCTGTCGTGGTTGGTTGAGATATTTTCTCACGCAGTCTGCAAATGCGTTCTAGCTCAAAATCCCCATTTTCACTCGATTGTCACTGTTCAGTTCCAGAACGTTTAATCAGGCATCCCCTAGTTGTCTCCTGTATTGATACCCCCGTATAATTTATTAAGCTTACATATTTTTATACTGTTATAAAAACTGGGGCCGGTTTCACAAACACTTAAATAGATTTTGACTAAAATCGTCCCTAAAATAGTTTTGTGAAACACCACGATTTTAAGTTAAGATCAAATTTTAACTTAAAATGTTAGGATGATATTTTAGTTTGATGATTTTATGAAGATTTAATTTTTTGTGAAACGGGGCTCTGGACTGGAATATTCATTACTGCTTGATTTCATTCAAGTCTTGTTTACGATTATCGTAGGTTTACGATTATCAAAGGTTTTGGAGCAGAAATTATCATCCAAATCCACATGATATAGAAATTAAAAGACATTGTATTTTTTCTTGTGTATGTATATAATTTGGGTGGAATATATTATTATTATGATTATTATGTAACTAATGAAATTTGAATAGTCGTTATTATATTATATATTATATTATTACTGACAAATAACCATATAAGATGTACATTTTCATCCAATCACAGTCTCAGAAGTTATGTTTCTCCTTAGATATATTACTATGGTAACAGTAGTAACATGTTTTCTCTCTTCAGATATCCGCCCCATTCTTTTATCTTTCTAATTTTAGAGTTAAACATACATTATACAAGAGCTAAATCTGCCTATTGCAGGTCTTTCTTTAGGCCTGAAATGTTATCTTAATTATTAATTAGACATTAATTAACTTATCCAGACCATAATTAACGCTCGATGTCAATGCTAGCCTGCGATATTTATTGGATTAGGATCCGATTTGCTGCTCAATTTTCATTCATGATTTAAATCATGAAATGGATAATCAAGACTATGTTTTTTATGGTACCAACTTTAGTAATGATGATCAAGGCTAGGCCGAAAATTCAATCGCTAAAATCTCGGTTCAGAGTGAATCAATTTGAAATTTTCAGCAAATTGCCTTTACATTATCTAGTTTTTAACTATTATAGTGAGAACTGACAGCTTTTTATCTAATCTCCCATAATGTATCTTTAATTTATGACATTAATTGTCAAAACATTTCCAGACAGGAAAATTCTGATACATTTAATTCTAAAATGTTCCTGTTTTCTTAATCCAGCAGCCTCGTTATGCTGGCATTTATCTGAAGATGGAATATACATGTACATACAACTGTATTTTATATATACATATATATATATATTAAAAGATGACAAAGTAGGAGTCTTGATGACTATTACAAAGGGTGATAACCCTGGAAGTCTTGATGACTATTACAAAGGGTGATAATCCTGACATATTAAAAATTTCACAACATACCACATTTATAAGAATAAAATATATTGATTCATATAAAATAAAAATAAAACATGCAGTATTTCTTTGTTTTCTTTATTTAAATCTCGGTAAATTTATATCAAATGTTCTATAGTTTTACATCAAATATACAATGGCCATACAAAACAGGGGCCACGGTGGATCCGGTTGTTTTGCAGAACGGAGGGACAGACAAGAACAGCTGTCTAGTTGTTCGGATGGAGCAGAAAACTGATCCCTTGGCAATTGGAGTTGATGTAAGAGTAGTCCATAGTGCCGCTGCCCGGGCAAAATTCCCTCATAGCATGGCGTGTGCCCGTCTTCAATAGCCCAGTAGGAGCGGAACAGTAGGACGTTAAGCCCCAGTCATTTCATTTCTCATACAAAATACAAACGATCACAGATAAATAAATTATGAATGCTACCAAAGGCCGACATGTTTTATATTCAGCTATGATATATGAAAATAAAGTGTATAAGTTAAAAATAGACACGTCCATAATGTTATTTACCACACACGATCCACCATTATAACCTCGTCCTTCTCCTACGTAACCTCGTCCTTCTCCTATATAACCTCGTCCTTCTCCTATGTAACCTCGTCCTTATCCTATGTAACCTCGTCCGTCTCTTATGTAACCTCGTCCTTCTCCTATGTAACCTCGTCCTTCTCCTATGTAACCTCGTCCTTCTCCTATGTAACCTCGTCCTTCTCCAATGTAACCTTGTCAGTCTCCTATTTAACCTCGTCCTTCTCAATAAACTATAACACATACTTATGGAAGAACAATTACTGATTTATTTGGGCGACGTTTCGAAGAGTATTCTCTCAACGTTTTCAAGCAAGTACAGTAACAAATGTGTAGAGCAATTATATATAGACAAGCAATAACAACAATTCAGAAACCATGCATGGCAACAACAAGATCAAAGGATTAAAAAACAACATGATCAAAGGCAATATACATATGACGGATTATAGGGGTAAATAATTTTAATTGGACAACCAATCATGACAAATGAGAAACCATACATGATGTGATTGGCTAGGTGAGGGTACATCAAGGGAATAATAAAGGACTGATAATAGGGGTAAACATACCATTAAACCAAACAAAAGGGAAGCCATACATGTTACGAAAACATCAGAGGAGTAGTGAGCTACATAGGGATTAAATGGTTAAGCCTTATTTAAGTGAATTACAAAATATTAGTATTAAAATGCACGCAACATAGCACACCTAATGATAGTCCAACATTCTTCCTTCCGACAGACTCACACATACATTTATTCCTAGGATAAGTACAAGAGACACTTAACTGTTTACAAAGGATAATTACATAAATGACCATAAATAAGTGGTAAATGTAAATATTGGAAAGCCACACCACAGTCCTATCCACAGGCTTCTAAGTAATTATGTCCTGCACACTCCTTCCCATTAGACACACACACTTATTAAAATTAGTTCTACAAATGGATAACGAGAATAAACAAGTAATACGCATGATACGCGAACTAAGTAACTTAAGCACGTATGGAAGTCTAGGCATGTACACATTAGTTAAGAATTAGTTCATCATAGGCTCTTGGGAGGAATATTCCTGTGTCGCGATTGAGGTCTGGTTTGGATCTCCTGATGTGTATTGCTTCCATGATTTCCGCGTCTTTTCGTTGTGTTGGTTGAGGGCTAGGGTCTTAGAGGACTGGATTTTGTGGCCTGGATTGGACTGGAGGTGCTGGGCAACTGCTGATTCTGCTGTGGGGGACCTTGAGTTATGCTGGGCGAGTCTTTTAGGTAGGGGTTGTCGGGTTTCACCAATGTATGTCATATCACACGAGCACACAACTTCATAGACACATCCTTTAGGTGGCAGTGGAATGGTGGGTTGCAGTTTACCATTCGCTTTCAGGTGGTCTTTAAGCGTGCGTCCTTTGGAAAAAATGACTTGGATGCCTGTCGTTGCGAGTAGCCTTTGGATGTGGTACGATAACGTTCCTTGAAACGGGATGGTTATCCGTATGGGTGGTTTATCTGGCTTGGGCTGTTCAGCAACGGTTTTCTTTTTTGTTTCTTTTATGGTATTCTTGACTAACTGGGGCGGATATCCGTTCAAATTGGAGAGTATGCTTTCTATATGGGTGAGTTCACTGGGGAGGGAGTTGTTGTCACATATATTGATGGCTCGACGGGCTAGGGTAGTTATGGTTGACTTTTTGACACTATGTGGGTGGTTCGAATCATAATGGATATACTGGTCGGTATGGGTAGGTTTTCTGTATACACTAGTGGTGAGTCCTGTGTCTGTTTTCGTAACTAGGACGTCTAAGAAGGGTAACCTTGTCCTTCTCCTATGTAACCTCGTCCTTCTCCTACGTAACCTTGTCCTTCTCCTATGTAACCTCGTCCTTCTCCTATGTAACCTCGTCCTTCTCCTACGTAACCTCGTCCTTCTCCTATGTAACCTCGTCCTTCTCCTATGTAACCTTGTCCTTCTCCTATGTAACCTTGTCCTTCTCCTATATAACCTCGTCCTTCTCCTATGTAACCTCGTCCTTCTCCTATGTAACCTCGTCCTTCTATGTAACCATGTCCTTCTCCTATGTAACCTCGTCCTTCTCCCATGTAACCTCGTCCTTCTCCTATGTAACCTCGTCCTTCTCCTATGTAACCTCGTCCTTCTCCTATGTAACCTTGTCCTTATCCTACGTAACCTCGTCCTTCTCCTATGTAACCTCGTCCTTCTCCTATGTACCGTCCTTCTTCTATGTAACCTCGTCCTTCTCCTATGTAACCTTGTCCTTCTCCTATGTAACCACACCTTTTCCACATCAACCCCGCTTTCTCCACTCTTACCCCCCCCCCCCCCAAGCTGCTTTCAGACTAGCCCTACCAGTCTAATATACCTCTTACCAACACCTTGATCCCCCCCCCCCTCCCATTGAGTGAGAGAGAGCTATGATACAGCTTAGAGCGAAAATACATGATGCAGGAATTTGGAGACTTGGCCAACTGTAAATACAGGCTTGGCTAGCTAATGATGGGTAAATCCAGGCTTGGCTAACTATTAGTAGGCCTATAATAGTGAAGCAGAAGGTGGTGTTTTTACTTCTGGAGCCGAGGATATCCAGGGCTGGACGGTAGCCGAAGGAGAAGGAGGCTTAGAGGACACATATGAAATTGTTTGTTCCGGAGGAGCAGGCGGTACTGGGTGTGTATTTGCCATCACTTCGTCGTAGCTCGGTGGGGGGTTGGACTGATTGATATCTCGCGCTTCATATGGTAAAATGTCTCGAGGCGTGGCAGGTCGCTGTTCGTCCGGTTCTAATCCATATCGAATTCGGTCCTCCAAATTTTCTGGATCTGCTATGCTTATGGTTGGAAGTTGGACATTGACCTCTCTACAATCTGCAGTATCCGCCACACAGCAACCAGTCTGGCAGCAACAGCTAAAGAGTCTCTGGATCCGCTCCCAACAACAAAGTACATGTGTATGACTATTATAAAACAGAATACCAGTACAAATGCACCTATAGTCACACCAGTTATTCCTCCTGCACTCAGTCCTTCTGTTAAGTTGGGAAAAACAAAAACATATTAGGTCAAATAATCGTTGCAAATTTCCCATGAAGTCGCTTGATTTGCTTAAAACAGACAAAAACAACTCCTTATAAGTCTAATGCTCACCTGTCCATCATCCAGAATCACCTGGTGATATCTTGAGTTAAATAATGATTTCTTGGAGTCTGATTGGAATTGTATATAAATCTGTTTGCCGGAACTCTCATAGCTAACTTCATCATAGCATGTACTACCCAATAATTTTGAGTTATTGTCTGGCCCTGTAATAAAATACAGAACCGATTAAATCGTCGCTTCACTATACGAGCCGTATAAACTGAGATACGGTATGGATGGCGGGGTCTCATGCCTCCCAATAATTTACAATAGATACAGTGTTTACAGGGCTGTGTAATATATAGCAATATATTACGATACTAATTGACCAAAAGATATTGCAATTTACATGTATTGGAATATTGAAATGCTTATGATATTGAATATTTAGTCTCGAAAAGACCTAGTTTGTGTCGAGTGGATGTTAGATTTCAATACAATATTTAAGGTCATAAAACGACAATACCTATTGATTTTCAACGATTTTCGATAGTTACTGATAGAGTTATGGCCCTTAATCATGTTGAAAAATCTTTTGGTTTGGTCCCCCTAGAGGCTTAAGTTATCAACAGATTGACTTGTAGACGGTGTTAATGGTCACGTGACAACAGGGTCTATTGACTCCTGTAACTTTAACTGCTAAATTCATGATATTTAATGTTCTGTAAACTAAGCGTTAGCATGTAGTAGATGCTAACGATTTCTGATAACAGTTTGATGGACAGTTACTCTTAGTCAGTTTCTAGTGTGCAGTAAATATTTTCATTACCGACAAAAGAAAAATATGCGACATCATGGGACGACTTAGCTGCTGTAGACGTGTGTTTCGTTGCCTGGCAATCTGTCTTTCTATACATGCCCAAGCGCGCCACAACACTGGCTATTTACACAAGTAGATTTATGTGATTACAGTGAGGAGGGGGGGGGGGAGGTAACAAAACTAGGTTATTTCGGGACTAATCAATTTAATTACAATAATTGACTTGCGCGTTCAGGTCTTTAGCAGTGGGAGGAAACAGCGGGACCAGGAGAAAACCCACGAGGTTGAACAGACGACCCTACTCATTGTCACGTACAAGCGGTAATAGAAACCATGCCAGTTGACCCATGATGGACCTTTTTATTTAACTCGTAGGCTTTAAACCTGCGATCATATAGGTGCTTTACCAAATAAATCTAAACTGTTACATATTTAGCCATGAAATGCAATTCTACATGAGGTCAAAACATTCGGATGCACTCCGATAATGTTGGGCTTTTAAAAAAAACATCTTTGAGAATTTGGATTACAAAATAGCCTTGTCCGATTGCGGAATACAAATGGACACGCCTTATAATTACTGATTCGTATATAATCTATATAAATGATAATGTTTAT